CCAGGCCCCGCGAGATAGCACGGTTAGGGGCGTGCTCCACCCCTGGCAGCCCGCTAAACCTGACCCTAGCCAAGCCCAGCCGTTGCCACTGCCAGGTGCCAGGTGCCCTGTGCGCTGCCTGCTTTGGCGTGGTCACTTCTCTGGGCTCGCTCTCTCTTCCTTGACTTTTCTGCCTCTGCCTCCAAGGGTGGCTGCTCTTCTCCTCAGCCCATCACCATCACCATCGACCACGAACCATTGCGGCTCGTCCACCTTCACTCTCTTCTTTTCTTTCTTTCTTTCTTCTCTCCATCCCCAAAGCCTTGCCCTTCTGCTTTTTGGTTCGCCTGCTTTTCTCTCGCGCCCTTGCCTCTGTCCGACTTTGCACAGCACGCATTTTCCGCTACGCCTTCGTCGTGCCCCTTTCCCAGCCTTCGCCTTCACCTTCGTCTTCGAGCCATCTTGTTTCTTTTCTCTCTTTTCTTCACTGCTCTGGGCGTTGCGCTTTATTGCACACACGTCGACCTTTCTGACTCTATTGTCTCTGTCTTGTGCATTTACCTTTCCTTTTTCTCGTTATTTTCTTCTCGTTCTGGTGACTGGCTCTGCCTAGAAAGCTCTACCTTTTTTTAGCCCGTCATTTCCCCTTCTGAGCCCGTAATACCTCAGAGCCATCCTCCGACCTTCCAAGTCGGCATCTCGATACGAACGATCGATATCTGCACAACTCCCATGTTTCTTTGCAGCTAGTTGTGGTCCAACGTGTCTCATGTGACACTTGATCGTGCTCAACCAGTTAGCCGTCTGCTCTGTAATAGTCGATTGTGGCCTCGTGGTAATAGTGAGCTCTTCATTTCGACGCGAGGAATCTTTTAGCATCCTTGGCCGCTGGCGTCCTTCTATACAATCGTCATACCGGCCATTCTTCTTTTGCGGTTAATTGGAAAAAACATCGAAAGCGAAATAACCGCACTTACTTGCTGTTGATTCGTCCCCAGCTCTTGAAAACCAAAAAAAAACGGAAAAAGAGAAAGGTTAGATCACATTTTGATATGTTCGCCTTCCATTTTCTTTTGCTGTAGTCCTGTTCCCTTTCGAACGGGCAATGCCATCTACAAAGTCATGGGAGCAATAGCTAATATTCGATGATGTTATAGCATTCTCGTCTCCGAATTGATCGTGAAAGCGTTGCCGTCTATTACCATTGATAAACACCAAATTTCCGAAGCTTTGTATCGACACTCCCGTATAATCGAGAGGAGGAATTGCTGCTTCGAGCACGTTTGTTTTTGGTTCCCGGTCTGGGAGGATTATGGCTGCGTTGACCCAAACGTATCAGCAACAGACTGGTACGGTGACAATGCTTCAACGACCAACAGCTTCAGGCATGATGCCTACAAACCAATCTAACGGCCACCATCAATACACAACCTCAGCACCGAGAGGAGGAGGAGGATACCGAGGGAGCACTGTTCCTGTTCAGTCATATGCCTTTGCACCCACACCGAATCTGAATCAGAGCCTGCAATGGCAGCAGTATGGAACCTACCGGACGAACTCAGCACCCTCCGGGATTCCCACACAGACTTTTGACCCTAGCTTGGTTCAACGCTCCCATCGCACCAACCCGTCCGTCACAAACATGGCCTTGATTCCTTCCTACAACGGTAGCCACAGCAGTGGCCAAAGCAGCGGTCATAGCGGCCAAAGCAGCGGCCAAAGCAGCGGTCATAGCAGCAGCCACAGCAGCAGCCACGGTAGCAGCAGTGCACGCGATGACTCTGTCAAGTCTCCGTCTAGAAATGCCGCTTCACGCCCCCAGCTTTCGCACGCTTCCAGCGGCTCACAGTCGACACTGCCTTCCAGTGCGGCTTCCAAGAATGCACCTGATCGATATCGAAGACCTAGCCACTCAAACACTCGATCCCAAAGCTCGAATCCCCCGCTCAGCCCCGGCAATCAAAATCAGATGTATCATGCACCCAACGGCTCTCGATCGGTCCCGAACCTTGCAGCTTCTCCCTCGGTCGGCCCGGGAGGGTCCATGGATGACTCGAATCTGCACCGCAGACCTTCACCGGATGAGGCAAAGAAGATGCGCCGCCGAAGCGTGCATACCATACAATCCACAGATTCATTCAGACCCCTTCTGAAGCCCGAAAACGCCTCTCGTCCAGAGCAAGCTGTCAATGCCAAGAGCGTTGACAGGAGTGAAAAGTCTCCTCAGGTTGCTCAGAAGATGGCCATGCACGTCCGTAACGGAAGCAATGATAGCGCATCGTCCAGTCGAAGCAGTCAGTCGCGATCTGCCTCGGTAAGTTGGTTCCTTCATCGCCACTCCTCATCCAATCGCACTGTGGATTTTGGGGGCCCTTTTGTAAGTTGTGTGCATACTAACCAGGGATTGATGTGCAGTCTTCCAACCGCAATCCGACTACCCCCACCGGCAACCCCTCTTCACCGGGCGCTGACGAAACACCGGTCAAGAGCGATCAGCTCAAGGTAGCGAATATACCAGCGAGAGGTTCATCTGCCGATGGAGTTAAGCGGACACTTAGCCCTTCTCCCCTATCCAAACCTGCCACGATGGCAAATGAACCAACTGGTGATGCCGCCGCCGCCGCAGCGCCCTCGAGCAGGGCTGCGGCATCTCCCGCGGCAAAGCAGCTCGCAGCCATCAATGAAAAGGACGTCAAGGGAAAGACTAAAACCTCCAGGCTTCGCCGCGCCTTCTCATTTGGTAGCGCAGCTGAATTCCGAAAGGCTGCTGGTCCCGATGGCGAAGGCATGGAAAGAGTGGAAGTATCCAAGCTCCGCAAAGACCCAACATCTGAGGAGGCCTATGACGCTGAGCAAGCGCGAATTGCTGAAGCACAAGAAGCCGCGGGTATTGGTAACAGCATCTATGGCGGTCGCTTCTTTGGCGGATCGACGGACAACCTCTCCATCTCGTCTACCGCCTCATCTGCTTCTATTATGATCAGGAAGATGGGCCGTGGCATGAAAAAGAGCACCCGTTCGCTGGTTGGTCTCTTCCGGCCAAAGTCTGTTGTGGGCGTGCCGGCGGCCGACGGTCCTGTTACCGAGGGACAGGCTGCCGTGTCTATGATTACCGTGGAAGCAGAGACTCGACGTGTCAACGTGACCGCGGACCCCCAGGCCGGCAAAGGTGGTACGGGATTTCCTCGCCTTGAGCGCAACTCTCTCGACGCTACTCAGATCCCTGAAATTGGAGCAGAGCGTCTAGGCAGCGCAGGAACGGATAACTCCGGGCCTCGTAAGAGCATTGTGGGTGGTGAAAAAGAACGTGCAGAGGTACTTGCGGCAGTTCGCAAGGGCATTTTGAAGCGTACGTATTGCCTCATGTTTTCTATCATCTCTATTAGCGGTTGATTAACTGACAACAGGTTCAGGCTCTTCAAGCCCTTCCATCCGGCCGTCGGAGTCGCCAGATCTCGTTTTGCCAACCATCCCAGCTGTCGCCGACTCACCCAATTCAAGTGCGCCGAGCACGCCAAATGATGACGGCAAAAGAACCGGATCCCCAGCTATTGGTACTGAGGACTACTTCATGAGTGCCCTAGGTCGGCTTGGAAAGAGCCGACCCGGAACCCCCTCAGCTGGCACTAAGAGGAATGCCACGTTTTCACCACGCATCATCTTTTACGACACATGGCCTAGCCAAGAGTATGATCGCCGCGGTGAAATTGCCACGTGTAACCGTCTCACACCAATGCTGGCTCAGCAAATCAAAGAAGAGCTGAACAGTTTCAAAATGGTTCGTCGAAACTTAATTGTTTACCCGATGTGGGTTCTAGAAGGGACTTAAACAAACTAACTCGCTTTTAGGAAATGGAAGTCCATGAAAATTCCAAGATTTATACGCATTTCTTCTGATGATATTATCCGATGGGCGAAAATCTTGTCAGCTGATTATTTTCCCCCCTCTGCTACTACGGGGTATTAAAGCCCCAACCATGTATTTTCTTCACATTTACCATTTGCGGCGTTTAGGGACAGCATAGTAAGGTGTCACGGGCGTTTTGTCACACTACCTCACTACATGTCATGGTATTTAGCCCTCAAAGACTCATACATCTCATTAATATTCAGTTGGTACTCGTTGGCGCGAGGAATGGGCGATTGGGGATGGTGGGAAGAGCCGGCGTCGGATGGATGCCGTCTGTCGTCATTGAAAAATCGGAAACTCGTGGTTGCGGCCTACTATGGCTCAGCCACAAGGACTGAGGATGGAAAAGCAGCATGTTAAAATGACACGATGCCACGTTGGCACAGGACGAGCATTTAGAGTTGACCGTGGAGGCAAAGACGTTTAGGTATGGCAACTCAGCCGATTGGAAGGTGAAATATAGGCCGGCAACTTGTGTTTTTTTTCCTCTGCTTCATTTTTATCTATGTCTCTATAGCCGGATTTAGTCTATGAGCGTGACGTGTCTGGTGTCTCCTTTTTCAGCAAATAAAAACTCAGTACTTTTGATCAATTCTTGCCTAGAAGCCCCTTTGCTACTAATATCTGCCAAGGGTTGGATACATCATGCTCAGCCCACAATTGTATTTGCATGGGATTGTCGATCTTGATGGATGTCTATAATTAGCACTACTTGGCACTTACAGATGTTTCTGCCGTTTGTTGTGCTGAGTTAATAGGTAACTCCAATATATTGGGGGCTGCTAATCTTGTATTTGATGTCATCGCGGGCCGAAGGTATTCTGGGGAAATTTAGTGTTGTCCGGGTATTAATCAGCCCCGCCGTTTAGTAAACATCAGTTTGATGGGCTTTTTTTTTTCAACGCCGCCATAAGGGAAAAAAAAAAAAAAAATCTTGGTCACATTTTTATCTTTCGTTCATTGAACCCTTGAAACTACTCTCCCCATCCACCAAGTGCATAGGCGGTGCTCACTTATGTGGCAGCGCCTGCTTGGGAAGACTGTGACACATCGATTGTTGCTTCAGTCTGGATTCTCTGCCGTTCCCTGTACTTTCCGTGGTGTCGCGACCATGACGGCGACAGAGGCGGCCAAGGGAGCCGAAAACCCCAAGAAGCTCCATGGGCGGGCGTTTTACGAGAGCATTGGGAGTCCCAAGTTTATCGTGGCTCCCATGGTGGACCAATCCGAGTTTGTTTGTCTTGCATTGAGATCCTGGCGCGCTCTGCTTTGCCCATGTTTTGCTGACGTTTGCGTGCTCGACAGGCCTGGCGAATGCTCACACGATCTTTCTTGCTGCCCTCGGAGCAGTCCAAGTTGCTGGCTTACACGCCCATGCTTCACGCCCGACTCTTCTCCCAAGACGAAAAATACCGAAAAGCGCATTACCAGGCCGTGCGAGCGGGATTCGACGAGCCTTGGCTGGACGGAAACCCAAAGATTGACCGGCCTCTCTTTGTCCAGTTTTGCGCAAACGATCCCGAGGCGCTGCTCTCTGCGGCGCAACATGTTGTCCCATACTGCGATGCTGTCGACTTGAACCTTGGGTGCCCGCAGGGTATTGCGCGCAAGGGCCACTACGGAGCGTTCCTACAGGAGGATCAAGATCTCATCTTTAAGTTGATCAACACATTGCACAAGGAGCTCCCTATCCCGGTCACGGCCAAAATCCGGGTGCTGGAGACAAAAGAGAAGACTCTGGAGTATGCAAAGAATGTGCTGAAAGCTGGAGCTTCTATATTGACCGTGCATGGACGGAGACGAGAACAAAAGGGGCACCTCACTGGAGTTGCCGACTGGGAAACGATTAGGTTCCTCAGAGATAGTCTGCCGCCGGAAACTGTGCTCTTTGCGAATGGTAATATCCTACAAGACGGGGATCTACAGAAGTGTTTGGACGCGACTGGAGCGGATGGCATCATGTCCGCCGAGGGAAACCTCAGCGATCCCGGCCTGTTCGGCAATCCCCCGCCGGCAGAAGAGAAGAGCAGGGAGTACTGGAGGGGCAAGGACGGAAAAGGTGGCTGGAGAGTTGATGCCATCACAAGACGATATCTAGACATCCTGCACAAATACGTCTATGACTCGGAGCCTCCGCAGAGACGGCCGCTGTTTGTCCCAGGCGACGATACCGCCTGGATCACAGAGACCGAGAGCTCAGACGAGCCCGCGAAGAAGAAGAGAAAGAAGGAAGACGATAAGAGCCTCAGCACATCGCCCAACCTCTCGGCACTGCAGCCCCACATGTTCCACGTCCTCAGACACTTTGTCACCAAGCACACCGATATCAGAGATCAGCTGGCAAGGGCCCGCAAGGACGGCATCGACGGCTACGAGCGGGTCCTCGCGGCCGTGGAAAAGAGAGTGGCCGAGGGCCTGCTGGAATACGAGCAGACGGACGGTCGGAGCTTCGAAGAGGAGCTGGACAAGGTGATTAGCGAGCGGACCCTGGAGGGCGTGCCCGAGGAGGAGAGCTCCATCGGGACCATCAAGAGGTGTAAGCGCCCTTGGTGGGTGGCCCAGCCGATTATTCGGCCGCTGCCGAGCGAGGCCCTGGCCAAGGGGGCGATTTCTCTCAAGAAGGACAAGGCCAAGGCCAAAGACAAGCCCGACGACGACGCTAAGGCGAAGAGCGCAGATGGGGTGGCTGAGGATAACAAGGAGACGGAAGCACAGCAGCAGACAAAGCAGGAGATTGCGTCCAGAGACGAGCTCGTCTCCGGATGAGACACTTGCAGGAAGCAAGGGAGGATGAGGAGAGATGCCGTCGGGTAGCAAAGATACCGGTGCTTCGTACATGAATAGACAACTAGCTAATGCATTATCTTTTAGCAAGGCCGTAAAGATACTTGTACCGTGCTTAGACGATCATCTTTTTTGCCCCCCTCTTCTATCTGAAACTCGCTTCCCAGCGTCACGTTGCTGTGGCATTGCTGCTCAAGCATTGCAGAAGCGTGTGTACGGGCCCTGCAGTCATCGCTCCTCCAGCAGCTTGAATGGCCGTCTTCACAGCAGCCATTCCCATCCCTCCAGCTCCTGCACTCTGCAAAACGGCAAACAGACTCTTTGCCGCAATGGGGCCAAAGCTCGCTTGAATGGCTGCAGCCAGAGAGCCTCGACGAGTTCCAGTTAGTAATCAGCCAAGCTTTTTCGTGGTTTTGACATGCCATACCCTGTGCTACACCAGCAGCTCCAAAGCCAAGTCCGCCCAAGAAGGGAGCGGCAACGACCACAGGGGCAGCGGTGACGGTTATTCCGCCAAGTAGAGTCGCCGCTTCGATGGGATGTTCGGTTACGAATTTTTTAATCTTTTGGGATGTTGGATGCAAGCGTTAGTACATGTGTAATGCATAAGGCTGTTTTTTGGGGGGAGGGTGTGGGCAAATATGCATGTGCCAACTTACACACTCTTGAGGGGTCATGATGTAAAGAAAAAGGCAGAATCGGCCGCCCTCGCTAAACGAAGATCTCTTGTAATGCTGTGCCTCGCGTCTCTTGGTTTCTCGGTCTGCTTCGGAGACGATGCCTCTTTCGATCTTTTCGATTTCGCTAGAGAGCCATCGGGAATCAGGATCAGAGCGGCAAGCCCAGGCATAAATTAATTTTGAGGCGCGTACACAGACGTTCCAATTACGCTTTGCCAACTGTCACCGCAGGGAGCGGCAGCCAGTGAAATGAGCATTTCGGTCTGCATGCAGGCGATGAATATGCACACGGCAATTAATTCACCTGATGGCCCGCCTCTAAAGCCGGATTCCCTGCTTTGATTCGTGCCTCAGTCTGCGGATGCAGCTGTGGTGAGTGACTGGTGTGGCCTGGTGGCTGGGAAGTAATACTGCGGCATGATTTCCTGGCGCGTACTAGCTTGTGTTCATCAAGATGCGTATTCGATCCGTCGTTGGATGCCGATACTGCATTCTCACTGCTTGAGAGAGAGATTAGCCAGGTCGATGAATGCGTTTTCGAGGCTATTAATAACCCACAGGCAAGCATCAGACCGATCAAGAAAGCTGACTCTTTTCACACGGGCATACGACTGTAAGCCTGCGTCGATAATCCCAGCACACCGAGGACCTCTTGCATAGACGCACGTGCAGTTGAATGCACCCCGTAAAGGATGAGGTTGTGCATGCTGGTTGCTTCCTGTTATGCCGTCTCTTTAGTGTAAGATGTTGCCACGGATATTGACTGGAGGTGAGAACGGCCCGGTATTGGTGGAAAGAAGGGGTGTGATTGTTGTTGGGTGTGTATTCTCTCGAGATAACAAGGTACAGTAGTTGGGCGATATACCTCTTCTGATTGGAGAGACCAAAGGGGAGCGTGTAATAGAAGATAGAGAAGTCATTACTTCACTCGAGATGACAGATGGATGATGGGGTGAGCGGCTCGATGTGGCCATCAGCTCTTTGAGATTGAGACACCAATCGCAAACGGCAATTTGAATACTGCCGGCTCAACTGGATATCTCTTTGCGATAAGAGGTGGCCGTGAAATGGACAAAGCGATGAATGGATCGGTTTCCCCGTCTCTCAATATACACACCCCTGTAGCTTCTTGTAAAGGAATCCAGCCTTGTCGTGTCGTCCTTGTAATTGCCAAAAATTTGATTGCAAATTGACGTTCCCGACCAGCAAAGGTTGAGGAGAAAAGAAGGTGATGATGCTGTGACGACATTGAATAGGAAGATCGGAATATCGTAGTCCAGTCCCGTTCCTTCCCTCCGGTGCCTCTGGCTGCCGATCTTCACCTACTGCTTCATCCAACCTTCTCCCGAGTGCTTCATCCAACCTTCTTTGTAATCTCGTCTCGATCTAATCGTCAATGCAAGCAAAATTGCAATCGTCACGGGGTGAAACTATCGGTGTCGATACTGAGTGTCGATTAAGAGGCAAGTGGGTTCGCTGAAAGAATGCAGGATGATCGACAAGTCAACTCGAAGGAGCGAATTCTTTCAATATCGAATGGAATACGGCGCACTAGCAGATCATGGTAAGATGCCCCGATGTTGCGTGAAGGTCCAATATCCTTGCGAATCTAGCGATTTGGCCTTGCTTCTTATCCTTTGTCCTTTGAGAAGATAGTGTTGACATGCTTTCTCACAGATTGAGTCTGGATATTCTTCTATGTCCTGTAGTTGCCTTCGGACTCGAGCTCACTTTCACAAAATGCCTTTCCATTACTGCCAGATTCTACTATTGTCCGATTTCTCTCCATGTTAGCATCGTGGCAGCTGCATCCGAGTTCTCGATCACTCCCGTCGTTTTACTGAAGGATAGGCATCCTGGCGAGCACCTTAGATGTACGGTATTGGTTGTTGGCATTGGCAAAGATCCTAGTTTGTCATCTATCTCAACGGGAGACCAGACGCCCATCTTCGGTGAGAATCGACATTCAAACTACTTTGCCGGCGTGTTAATCGTTTCTTGGCAGCGGGACGATCACTAAGAAGATGTGTTGGTCGCCTGAAAAAGGAGCATCCATGATTGTATGGGAGCGACTTACTCATGACCTCTTCCTGTAGAGTTTGGCCAAGCTGCCAAACTTAAGATAAGTCCAAACGTTTCTTCTGAGTCTGAATTAGTCTGGTAAGTAGGTGCTCTAGAATCTTGAGAGTGGTGCGATTAATGAAGAGAGAGGGGTCATTCTTGGATACAATTTGGTGACCAAGCTGTGGCGGGCAAGCCACGACAATAGTATCAGGATGCTAATGTGAACAGCGACGACAACCTCCTATCTAGTGATTTTGAGACAACAACATCCATTCCAGACGCCATTAAAAGGGGAAACAGTCTCGCGGATATTTTGAGCACGTCCTGGCCAATGGGATCCCGTTCCGGTAGAATTGGCCATTATTGAATCCTACGATGAACCTGGCCCCAACAAGATGAATGGGAGGGCGGGGACTTTGTGGTCTTCCACAACATCCTTTGGCTGGAGGTTGCCTCGACAGGCCTCGTGGTGGGTGCCAAGGCGGCCTGCATCGCAGATTTTGTATGCATATAATACGCCGTCGAGGGAGCGATGCTCCATCAGTATGCACGGATTACGAGTTGCATGCGTGTGCGTGCCCCGTGTCAGGCTGTCGATCGTCCAAGTTGCTAAAAAGATGAAAAAAACAGGGGCCGCCTTTCCGAGGCCTACCGCAATCAAAGTGCATATGCGGCCTCGCAGCTAAGTGGAAGTGAGTTCTCAAATCTTGGATTCAATATTCATATGCAGCCAAAGTTCGCTGCATAGGCCGGAGCAGCTTGATTAAGCGGTGGCTGCGCTTCACATGAAAGTCATGTTGTCGTGTCGTGTCCGCCTGGCCTGCAGCTTCTCACCTTTCGATTGGACATCGGCTGCTCTATCAGTTCCTCCGCTGCGACATGTCGTGTTGCTATTCGACCAGCGCAATGCTGTGCGAGCGCCACCTCGGTGGCCAAATCAGAAGTCACAGGGCGACGCCTGTAGATGAGAAGGGCATCGCACAGTCTTTCTACCATGCATATAAAATGACGATCTATACTTGTTTCATTCTTCCTCGCTAAATATGCGTCCTCTCCGGGAGTGAGTGTTATGTTCAACGACTCTCGAACCACTCAAAGTATTGGAGATGATGGAAAATCAAGAGCAGCTGAGGAAGTTGGAGGAGCAATGGAATTTAGTCATGGCAGAAGATGAGCGTAAACATGCATTGATCTCAGTGAGGCCCCAGAATCCGTTGCTTCCAGGGATATTCCCCATGATGCATAGGCTAAGACCCTTTCTAGGACTTGTTCGGGCACATCAGCGATTTGACAGCGCAGCTCGCTGAGGCTCATATGGACCTGCGAGACCGAAAGGACATGCTTGAGCTCAAACGCACCAAGCTTGATCAAGCCGAGAAACAGATTGAGGATTTACGACGCAAAACGGTGAGAAGAAGGCGGCTAATGCCTGGAGATGAGAGGGGGAGCTAACCACGGCCACGCAGGATGAACATGTTTTTAGTATGGTTATAATTGATGGCGACAATATGCCGGTGAGTATACACGTGCCTTAGGCCGTCGCCCTCCCTCGCAGCTGGAGATGCGCTGACTGTCTATAAACAAAACAGTTTCAAGATGAATTTGTGAGAGACGGCCTGCTGGGGGGCAAGAGGGTAGCTAGCCTCCTGAGGAAGGCGATAACCGAGGATATCAAGACAAGATTTCCATCCCTTCCTGCCAACGCGCAGGTGGTGATTCGTGTATATGCGAATTTGAAAGGGCTGTCCAAGAAATATAGAGAGCTTCTGCCTGAATCGGCATCGTTTGAAGATTTTGTTCGAGGGTATAACACAGTTCATCCCACCTGCGACTTTATCGACGCTGGGTGTGGTAAAGAATGCGCAGACGAGAAGATCAAAGGTGAGCTGCCGTCGTGAATTGGAGTTTTCCTCTCCCGTTTCAATACCGGTTATAGGTTTGCAACTTGTATACTGATATGACAAAGCGGCCCTCAAGTTTGGTCTCGGCGACAGCCATTGCAAGCAAGTGTTTTTTGGAGGCCCAGGAGACAACGGCTACGCCCGCGTGTTCGATTCTTTTCTCGAAGATCAGACCATTCGGGGGCAGATAACGCTCATGTCGGGTCCTCCTTTCGCCTACGAGCTGGCAGCAATCAAAGACAAGTTCCAGAATGTGGCGTTCGACAACATCTTTAGGGGCCAAAAGCTCCCCAATGAGGCGAACCGCAGAACCTCGTTCCACCTTACACCACCAGGAACACCGATGCCTTCAAACGCTCCATTGAGCTTTGCAGCTGCCGCCAAGGTGCCCAGTAGCCCAGCACATAGTGCTCCCGCTCAGCTGTACTGTCCGGAGCCGAAGCCGTCGGCCAATGGAGTCATATTGCGGAACAGGCTGGGACAGAGGGTGGACTCGCGCCTTTCGTATTCGCAGTCTGATTTCTCCAGCTTGAAAGACCGTAAGCTCTGCAACAATTTCCACCTCTTGGGCAAGTGTTACTATCTCGACAAGTATGGGAAATGCCACCACATTCACGGGGAAAAATTGACTGCCCAGCAGCTTGAAGCCTTGCGAGGTATTGCCCGTCAGTCTCCATGTTTGAACGGACTGGGCTGCAGCCAGACAGATTGTGTGGCCGGACATCGGTGCCCTAGGGAGCCTTGCCACTTGGACAATTGCTGGTTCCCCAAGGAGATGCACGGCGTTGACTCTCAGGTCATTGACTAAGGCTTGTGAACAACTTAATATTTTATTTTTATACGGCAGGCATACGGACGGGAATTTGTATCCAGCGTTTTGGGTGGACGGATGAATTGGATGGCTAACTGGCTGTCCGGCGTTGTCATGAACGGAATACATGTGGTTCATTGGGATGCCGGCAGCATTGCTTCAACGGCAATGATGGAATTTGGCACTAGTTAATGTTTTTAATGCTCTTCAAGCAAAAGGAGACGGCGAGAAGTAATTGATAGTCTAGGTATCTTGAGTTGAGGGCTCGGAACTTGAAATTGAGTATGTATTGATGAGCTCCATAGCCACGTTGTTCTGTCCAGATATCATGGCCCGGGCACTAGCAGTACCGTGGGGGGCTATCAGAGCCACCGGAAAGCCCCCAAATGCCAAACCCATCCACTGTGGCACCGCTAAATGGACCCTTCTAGGGGGGACTTTCAGCTTATGTTCGCTAAAGACATTGAAGCTTATGTGACCAGTTGGCCGACTTGATCGATTGTTGATTTCTCTCGTCACAACCAAGACCGGTAGACGCGTCTCCTGGATCCAAAAAGGATGCCTCCGGTCCATCTACCACCCTCAAACAGCTACGAGAAACAACCGCTGCCGCTCTGCTGCCGGCTAAGATGTTCTTTTTAGCCCCGACTCCGAGCAGCTGCTGGTCGGTTATTCTGGATTCGGAGCCATCGCGAGGTACCCGACGAGCTGAGGCGTCACTGGCCAACGGTCAAGTACCCCCTGATAAGCCCTACGCAAAAAAAGGCTAAAGACGGCGTGGATTCGGCCCCACGACGGCCAACTTTTGCTTCCCCCCAAACATGTTCCTGCAACGCCTTTTTGCTTCCTTCGAACAGCCGCTTTTCGGCGACTATGAAGCTGTCTCGGCCGGATCCCCGCAAAGTGGGGGAGGGGCTTTGCTTGTCGTGGGGGGAGAAAATCAGGTGCAAGTTGATGGCTGAGGCGAGGTTGGAGCGTGTTGGAAGTGCAGCAATCGGGGGCTCTTTGATCATATATTAGAGTCCACCGGTCCCGGATCCAGGTTTATTCTGTCTTCTCTAGTGGGTGTTGCCCATACTTTGCGTCACGGTAAGGTGGAACAGGGAGAGAAGAGAAGAGAAGAGCGTATAACTGATGCGTGTTTGGTGCTGACTTGACTCGCTCTCCAGACTACAGTACAAGCTTTGGACAGCCAGGCATATCGTCGACTTTCGTACTCTACAACATGTCTCGGCAAAGCACTCAGCTGGTCAGCGGCTGGACCTTTAGGCAGCATCAAGGTCCTTCGACGGAATGGCTGCCGGTGGAAAAGGTGCCAACGCAGGTTCACACGGATTTGCTGGCCAACAAAAAGTATGCCCCTATCCTTCCACCAGAGCAATGTAGAACTAACAAATATTTAGGATTCCGGATCCCTTTGTGGACCTGAATGAACGAGCCGTTCAGTGGATTGGCGACAAGGACTGGGAGTACAAAGTGACAATTACCCCTGATGCCGTGGAAGGTGAAAATGTGACAAGAGACCTGGTATTCAACGGTCTCGACACTTTTGCCACCGTCTATCTCAATGATGAAAAACTGCTGGAGTCGGAGAATATGTTTGTCTCTTATCGTGTAAATGTCACAGACCGCATCAGAGTCGGGTCGGAGAACACCCTCCGCATCGTCTTTCACTCCGCCGTCGTCAGGGGTGAAGAGCTCATCAAAGAGTACGGCCATGAGCATAAGTTCTACGTCCGACAGACTGAGAGAAGCCGTGTCCCGGTACGGAAAGCCCAGTACAACTGGGGTTGGGATTGGGGCCCAATTCTCATGACAGCCGGACCTTGGAAACCCGTCACTCTCGAGACGTACGTTGCGAAAATCGACGACGTCTGGGTTCAGAGCGAAGTCAGCCAGCATCTTTCGTCTGTTTCCGGATCCGTCCTCGCTCGGGTAGCTGGTGCTCCGAGCCAAGATGCTCAAGTTTCGGTGACCCTGTCATTAGATGGCCAGACGGTGTTTCAACAGGCGGTAGATGTTGCTTCGGCCAAAGATGGACTGATCAAGGTTCCGTTTAAGCTCGAGAAGCCCAAGCTTTGGTATCCAAAGGGATACGGAAGTCAGCCCCGTTACCAACTGGACGCCAAGCTCCACCACAAGGCTTCTAATGCCAAAGAAATCGACAGCCAATCGAAACTGGTTGGGTTCCGACGAACCGAGTTAGTTCAAGAGCCGGATGCTCACGGCAAATCCTTTTATTTCCGCATAAACAACGTCGACGTGTTTGCTGGTGGCTCATGTTGGATCCCTGCCGATAGCTATCTCGCCGGGGTGCCCTCAGAGCGATATTACGAATGGGCTAAGCTCATGGCAGAGGGCAACCAAGTCATGCTGCGAGTCTGGGGAGGTGGCGTTTACGAAGAGGATGCTCTTATCGAAGCTTGCGACGAGTTTGGTATCTTGGTGTTCCACGACTTCCAGTTCGCTTGTGCATCTTATCCCGCCTACTCGTCCTATCTGAAGACTCTGGAAGAGGAAGCGAGGCAGCAGATCCAACGCCTGCGGACACACCCATCCGTGATCGCCTGGGCGGGCAATAACGAGGACTACCAGGTCCAAGAGAGGTATAAGCTCGACTATGACTTTGACAACAAGGATCCAGAATCATGGCTCAAGTCTTCGTTCCCTGCGCGGTATATTTATGAGCACCTCCTGCCAACATGGGTTGAGGAAGAAGATCCAGGCAAGATCTACCACCCTAGTAGTCCCTGGGGTGATGGCAAGCCCACGGCCGACCCAACCGTTGGCGATATTCATCAGTGGAACAGTGAGTCTTTCTCAATTCTCCTATCACAGCTTTGAGAGCCAAGCATCGCTAACAGTCGTCTACCAGTCTGGCACGGAGCCATGAACAAATACCAAGAGGCCGTCGGCATGGGAGGCCGTTTCGTCAGTGAGTTTGGCATGGAAGCATATCCTCATCTTAGCACCACGCGTCGCATGGCCAGCGACCCGGCGCAGCTCTACCCCGGCTCCATGGTCCTCGATGCCCACAACAAGGCCATCGGCCACGAACGCCGCATGATCAGCTACGTCGTGGACAACTTCCGGCCCCGGCTCGATCTCGGCGGCTACACTCACCTGACGCAAATCGTCCAGTCAGAGACAATGCGTGCCGCGTACAAGGCCTGGCGAAGACAATGGGGCAAGCCCGGAGCCAGGCAATGCGGCGGTGTCTTGGTGTGGCAGCTCAACGACTGCTGGCCGACCATGTCGTGGGCCGTGGTGGACTACTACCTCATCAAGAAGCCGGCCTACTACGCCATCTCGCGGGCACTGCGTTCCGTCGACGTGGGCGTGCACAGGACGTTCCATGACTGGACCCAGACGGGAGACTGGGTCGACAAGGACTCCGGCCTCGTCACCGGCCAGGTCGACCAGACCCTCCCAGCCCGCAAGGGAACCTTTGACGTCTGGGTCGTCAGCAACGACACCAAGCCCGTCGAGCTGAGCCTCGTCGTGCGCTTCGTCTCCGTCCGCTCAGGAAAGGACGTCGTCGACCCCATCAAATCCACAGTCACCGCCGCCGCAAACTCCACCACCGACATCCTCCAGAGCAAGCCGCTCCCGCCGTCGATCCCCAACCCGGAAGACCTCGCCAAGCCCTTCAACCTGGCCGAGTACGACCCCTACGTCGTGCACGCCACCATCGCCGATGCTTCCACCGGCGCCCTCGTCGCCCAGGATACCGCCTGGCCCGAGCCCATCAAGTTCCTCGACCTGTCTGATCGGGGCATCTCGTTTGAGGTTTCGCCCGCAAGGGACGAGGTCGTCGTTTCGGCCGACAAGCCCGTCAAGGGACTCGTGTTTGAAGAGGTGGAGGGGTTGAAGCTGAGCGATAACGGCTTCGATATCGTGCCGGGCGAGAAGCACGCTGTCAAGGTGGAGGGCGCTCTGAAAGCGGACCAGTTGCTGTGGACGTGTGTTGGAGCCCCTGAGGCGTCGTTGACGATTTCTGGAGCATCTTCCTCGCTGCCCCTTCGATAGAGTTAAAAAAAAAAGGAGGGCTAGTACGTAGGTAATATGGTATAGTTAATGGAACAGCTGATATCTACGATTACCTCAACTACGTGATACACAATAAAGAATACCGAGAAACGGCCAATGTGCACATTAAATGTTCATTTTCAATTTTTAATCGCTAATGACATCAATAAAGAAGAGGGTCAAAAACTTGACGTAGGTAAACCCAGGATAAATCTCCCCAATCCCACTCAATCCCATTACACACATATCCCATTCCCAACCTATTTCACGTAACCGTCCCAATCTGGCAATGGAAAGATAAAGAAAAAAGAGTAATAATAATTATATCAAATTTACAGGGATAGACCGCAAAAACTCAAGTCTCCCGCCGACCACGCTTCACGGGAGGCGGTGATCTGGACACGCTCTCGCTGTCGTACCGCCGCCTCTTCATCGGCACAGGACTCCTCTCTCGCGGACGATCCGCCGAACCATTCCTTGCCCTGCGCGAAGGGGGACTGCGGCTGCGCGACGGGCTGTAAGAAGCCCTTCTGCCGCGCGAAAGAGGGACCGGAGACCTTGATCTCGATTTTGATCTCGAAGCCTCGCGGGACGGCGATCGGCTGATATCCCGCCTGAGCTTCTTCCGGGGTCCTCCACTGCTGACAGATGAGCTGTTTCTGCGGCCAGCAGCAGGTCCGCCGGGGCTCTGGCGCGGTCGGCCCCGTCGAGGCGGCGGGCTGGCCGAGTTTGCGCCCCTCTCCCTTCGCGGCGGAGATGGAGAGCGGCTGTAAGAGCTGTACGAGTTGCTTCGCGCACGACCACGATTCCGTTGTGGAGGCGGGGACTGTGAGGAGCGTGAGCGCGAGGAGTAGCTTCGGCTTCTGGTAGCATCTCGTCGGCCTCCCCGTCTGGGGGGACTGGCAGAGTACGACCCTCGATCTCGTCCACGAGACGAGACAGAGCCAGACCGAGGCCGGGATCGTGACCGCGAGTCAGAGTATGATCGGTCCCTTGCACCACGTCGTGGCGGTGTTCGGGAAAGGGATCGGCCTCGACTGTCGCCGCGACGAGCCGCAGACCGAGGGCGGGAGCGAGATCGAGAAGAGTATGATGAGCGAGTATAAGACGAGTAGCTTGAGACAGACTCTGAATCCGAGCGGTCCTGGGCAGGGGGTGCAGGGAGCGCAGGCTTGGGCATGTTCTGGAGGTGCTCTCGCATCTCCTCGGTCAAAACACCCATGCCAATGCTGGTAAAGTAGTTGATGGAGAATCTGATGTTGCGAGGGTTCTCGCGGGGGAAGATGCCTTCGAGGCTGGGGCGGAGGGTTTCGTCAGTCATGCGCGCCCTCAGCTTGACCATGCCGACCTCCTCCGAGATGTGCTGGAACAGGATCTTGATGAAGATGCGGCTGCTGGACGTGGTTTCATCCTCGTTCAGGTGGATGACGGAGAGGCAGTGCCAGCCGAGGGAGTCGGCGGCAAACATGTGGCCGAACAACATGGCAATGTTTCGTAGCTTGTTGTTCTCGTAGCGGTGGATCGTCTCGTAGTACTTGGCAAAGGCCTGCTCAAAGAGATCGCACCATAGACGGTTGATCTTGGCAAACCGCTCACCAATCAGGCCAAAGAACTTGGTGTACGTCTTTTCCTGAGAGCAACACTCGACAATCATTGATGGCAGCTCAGGCTCCTGGCCAGCGGGCAGGTTGATCTTCATCAATTTGTGGACTGCTTCCTCTGGATCGGCGCTTGACATGATGGTGAGGTAGATGGTTCTTCGTAGATTGACCAAGTCGGCGTTGGACTGGTCCTTGATCTCCATGGCTTTCGATTCCTCCTCCTCCTCTTCATCGCTCTCGTCCTCGTCATCCTCGTCGCCGTCTTCATCGTCGCTACCCTCGCCGAGAATTTCCGCCTTGAGTTTCCGGTAAGCCCCTTCGTGCTCCTCCCACTCGGAGTCGAACTTGAAGATGTTGAGTCCATCCTGAACGTCAATCTCGCCATCAAGCTCGACCTTGTGTGTGATCTGGTCCTCCTCTTCAACCAGATCCAGCTCTTCCTTGATAGCCGGGCTATCCTTGAACTTGTCCTTTCGAATCTGGAAAAGCACCTCAATCATATACTGGGTTCGCTTGTCGATGTCGGATTCGTGAAGGATGTTGCGGAACTGGTCGAAGACGGCCATGGAGATGGCAGGCTGCATCTCCTCCAAGTACTGCCCGATTTCCTTGCAGAAGCCCACGGCAATCTCCACGCTGTCGTCCGTCGGCTTGTGCAGAAGCAGCAGCAGGATCTGGCCGGCCAGCATCTCGTGCTGGACCTGCTGGTTGATGAGGTGCGCGAGGAACGTCGTCGAGGAGAGGCAGACGGCCTTGTCGTTTCGCTTGAAGCCCTTGCGGAACTGCATGATGAGGCGCTTGATCAGCAGCTCGCCAACCTGCGGCAGCTTGGTGTTGACAATGGCCGCCATGGCCGCGTAGATGGGCGTGAAGGGCAAGCTGGCGGCCTGGGCCTTCATGATGGACCGGCAGAACAGGCCCCGCCCCCGGATCAGATTCTCGCCAAACAGCTCGGGGACAATGTGCTTGATGTTGGCCGTGTTGACCTTGTTGATCAGGCCGTTGATGCTCTTCTTGAGGGCCTCCCACGCCATCCGCTGGTACTCCTTGCTGGTCTTGTCCGTGATCTGCGCCTGCAGCGCCCTGAGCCTCGCGGGCGGAATGTACGTGCCTCCCGACCGCATGTTGAGCAGCTTCTCGTACTCGGCCTTTGCCGCCGCCTGCTTCTCCTCCTCCGTCCGCACCGGCACCGGCACCGGCACCGGCGAGCGCGCAGTACGAGCGGGACGATAGGAATCGCCGCCCTCTCGCTGCTTTCCGCGCTCGCGGTGCGGCATGTCGACCATGGCCGACGCCATCGTTTTCGCGATCTAGCCGGAGAATGGAAGGTGTCGTCGAGATTCGTAGAGAAAGAGAGTCAAGAAAGAAAAAGAGCAATCGAAGCTGGATACAAGCGAGCAGGCGAGCCAATGCAGTTGCACAAGATGAAGTTGCCTCTGTCGTCGAGATGGTGCGGATGATGTTTTATTCCAAGAGAAAGAAAGTTGGTCCGACGCAAAACAAAGCAGTTGAGAAAGGCTAGGCTGAAAGAAAAGTATAAGAAATCGTGCACGGACCACATCCTTGTGGCTACATGCGCCACACGGAGCTACATACATACCTAGGAGCCCGGGGGTGGTTTTTAGTAAGTGGTCTGGTCAGCCTTTTTAGGCTGGTAATCGTTATGAGCAATGAAGTTAGGGTAGAAAACCATTACGGAAGTACAAAAACCATTACCAGAGCCCTTACCAGACGCTTTTCACAGTGCGAACCCTTACCCAAAACCCCCCCGGCGCCCGATGGTACACAGTACAACGCACAGCAGCCTTACTCTACCGCTTCCATCCAAAACTCTACCTCTTCGATCCATACCTTCCGCCGCAAAGAACCGTGTACCTCCCGCACCGCCACAGGTACCCTCCCCAACCCAGCACCGCAAACAAAGCCCCTAAAAGAGGCGCCTCGGGATCGAATCTCAATCCACTGGCGCGTCGCCCCCAAAAAACCAAAAACCCACTGTACCTTCATGCCAGCGTGGGCACATCGCCTGCTAACCTTCTCGTTCGCGATTTCAGCTGCCAAATTTCTCTCCTCCCCTATACAAACCAACCCACGCTCCTTTAGAATCTTCGCCCAGTCCCTCCCTCTCCAGAGACGCAAAATCAACATCGCAACTTTTCCCAAATCTCCCGTTCAATTAATCGCATCTCGAAAGACAAAAGAGCAAACGCTTCTCCCAACAATGGTTCGTCCCATCTCCCCCAGTGATATCACCACCTCTTCTCTCGAAATCGCTCCCCCACGTCGACACGACACACAACAAGCAAACAAACACAGCAGCTAAACTCTCTCTCCAGCTCGATAAACTCGTCGGTTTCGCCATGCTTGTGGCCGCATCCGTCATCTTCCTCTATTACACCATCTGGACTCTTCTCATGGTAAAGCCTCCCCCCAGTTATGCTTTGAAAGAAGGAACTCAAAATCGTACTGACAACACTCGCGCGCAGCCCTTCGTTGACGGCGACCACCCCCTCCAGAACCTCTTCCTCCCTCGCGTCTGGGCCATTCGCATCCCCGTTATCCTCCTCCTACTGGGTTCTGCCGTTGTCGGCTCCTTTGTCGGCATGGTCATGATTCGGAGCAACCAGAAGAAAGCTGCCAAGGCCAAGGCCGCTGCCAAGAAGAAGGCGTAAAGACGAAGAAAAATGAATAATGTCTTACATGTATATGCATGTGCCCATGTGCGAAATGGCGCCGTCAATGTATGCATGGGTAATTTGGGTGTTAGAAGAGGCCATAGCAATCAACATTAATAGTGCCTTTGCACAATCATGTACCAACTTGGGTTCGCATATAAACCTTGTACGACAAATAGAGCTTTATCACAATGACTAAAAACAGATTCTAGAGGGGAAAGAGGCGACAGTGGTTTGGGTATCTCGAGTGTGGTGTCTATTCAGTAATGGGGTGCAACAGGAGCTGCTAAACTAAAGAGATGCTACCTATAGAACATAACAGCAACATGCAGCCATACAGGCGACGCATCCAATCTAGATAAAATCCCGAGCAGCCTCAGCGAGGGACTCGAAGAGTATAAGCATCCGTCAAACCAATCCTCCAACAGTGTTGCTCAACTTTGCTTAAGAGAAAGAAGAAGAAAGCCAAGCAAAACAGTGAACCCAATGTCAGAAGTTGTCAAATTAGTAGAACCTAGTGTATACCCAAGAAAAAAAAAGAAAAAATTAGGGGGATTCTCTCGTGTCCCAAGAAGCCCAAAGTATAAAGGCTCGGTCCTGAAATTGCAAGACTGCCCGGTAGCCGCTTACTTAGACTCTCTGGTCGGCAAAATCGAGAACCTCGCAGTCGTCCTCAAAGAATCCGTCACCGTCAGGATCCCCCTGGTGGGCTCCACGTCGTCGCCTCGTCGTAACGACAATCTGCTCTGAATCGCCATACTCCATAACACGCTCCATGGCTGATGGAGGCAGAGGTCGGTGGTCCTCTGGATCGTCGTATTCGTCTTCAAAAGCAGAGGGGAGGCCCAGATCCAGCTTGACAACGGAAATGTCCTGCCCAAACGCCCAGGCGGCTGCATCCGACCCGCCGTTTGGCGCATGCGCGCTCAGATGCTGAGCCTTCTTTGTCTTCTTGGAGGTCGGCGCGGCATTGGCATCCATCGAAGAGTTTGCAAGGACGTCCGATCCAACGAGCTGACTGCCATAGGCTGGAGTATATTCGCCAAGAACGACGCGTCTGTCAGTGTGGAAAGGTTGATATGGCGCACTGCACTCGATTTCCGCCTGAGGAATAGTCTCGCCCATGGTATGGAGAGTGTTGGAAACCACGCGTGGGCGACCCTTGAGCGTCAATGTCGTTCCCACGTCCATCTCAGCCTCTGACAGCTCCAAATACTCTTCCTGGGCGCCCAGTTCTAGGATCTGGCGAACAGCCGGAGCAACGGTATCATCCGGCAGCAGCGGCAATCGATGGTCTGTATACCGATTGGCACGTGTGTTGCGCTTGCCGCTGTGACGTCGAGACTTGCTAGGATACGTTCGAACAAGGCCTCCGCCCAGGTTGAAGAGAGAGGCGCTTCGCCTGCCTCTGATCCAAATGACGCATGATGATGCGGGTAGTGAGGAACTGGGAGGCAGGGACACGCGGTTCTCTCCAGTGTGGCGTAACTGGCTGATGGCGGAGCCGGTCTTTCCAATAGAGCTGGTGATGCTCGCGGCAATCGCACGCCCACCCTGAGCCGCCGAGTCCTTCAGTATGCTGCCAGCAGTGTTTGAACTATTACCGCTGCCCTGGCGAGAGCGTGTGACAAAGGGCATCGCCACCTGATACGCAGCACCAAAAGCGCCAGATGCGAGGGAAACGGCGGAGCTCGAAGGCTCGGATGGTTCTGTGGCAGGCTTTTGCGTCACTTTGCGTCTGCGCGGCGGTGGCCACATGAAAGCGCTAAAGGGCATCTCCAAGAGATGGACAGTGCCTCTCTCTGTCACCATGGCTAGTCGCTCGCCTTGAGGCTCTGTCCAGACCACCTCAATAATGCGAGCCACAGTCATGCGCGAGAACTGGGCAATCTGGCGAACCTGAGGGCCGGCGCTCTCATGGGAGGCCAGCGACGCCTGCAGGGGTGACGAATGGGTGTGTTGGACACGCAGCAGGTCCCACACCGTCTGCACGTCTCCCTTGCTGCTCGCTGTGAACAGAGATAAGGAGGATGGCGAAAACGACAGAAAACTGCAGCCTAGAGGCGTGGCGAAGGTGCAAGAAGGGTGGATAGAAGGAGACGTCACCAGCGAGTCAACGTCCACGATGGAGACAAGCCCGGGATCCTTGGTCGAGACAGCTTGCGCAGACGCACCATGGGTTGGTGGGAATGAAGCACCATCGTTGCGAGAAGCCCACTGCTGAGGTGGTGATCGGGGTGGCAGTTGCTGTTGTTGCTGCTGTTGGGACTGCGGGCTCGTTGATCGATTCCAATACGAATTCCAAGCTTGTAAACCCTGCTGGCCGACCCATTTCGCGCCCTGAATGAGCTCCTGGGTCGCCTCGCGCATCACCTTGTTGACGACACTGTCAGAGATGGGTAGATCCACGGCAGCGGTCACCGAAGGAAGGTGAGGCGGCGTGTGGGATGAAATTCCGGCCCCTCTTCCTAGAATTGGCACTGGCAGATGCGCTCGGATGGCAATGTTCGAAGACGGTGGTGCCGGGCAGTAAGCGATCCTGCGACCGTTGAGAGCGAATATGGCCGTTGGAGGATTGGGTCGGCGGGCTGTGCCGAGGGGGTTCATCTTATCCGTCTCCTCGGCTACATCGCCGCCTCGCTGACCCTGCTGCACACAAGTCCAGAGCTTGGAGGTGCAAGCAAAGACGTGTCCATTCTGCGCCTGGAGCAGCTGCGTGTATATCCAACATTCGCCAGTAGCGCCGGAGCATACAGCAACGGTTCCGGCATCTGCCTTGATGGCAAATGCCCCGGTGGGAGGAGGAGGTTGGAAAATCGGGCTGGTCAAAGAAACCTCTGCGCTGATGGGGATGGCGGGAGCCTGCAACAGGACATCGACCAACTTGTTCGTCTTGAGCGAGTAGATTTCGACGGCCGTCTGGTAGGCCTCAATCACATGCCCGCTCTGGCCGCCCCGGCCAGAAAAGGCGTCTTGGTGAGCATAGGTAGACCGGGGGCTCGTGGCACCGTCGACTTTCCTCGCGCTGTCGCCATCGTCGTCCGGGCCTGCAGCCGGGGCTGCGCGCTGAGGAAGCACAGGGCCGTGCACGACCAAAGCCACCAAGGGGAACACAGAGTCCTTGTCTCCGCCAGCAGTCCAAGGGAGTATCTTGGCGTAATGGACGCCACCCCGCAGGCCCTTGAGGCTGGCGATGTGCTCCAGCCCTCTTTTGCTGACGCCGTAAACCTCCAAGCCGCCCTGGTAGCCGGCCAAGACGACATTTCCGGAGCCGGCAGAGCCGTAGGGGCTCGGGAGCTTGTCGAAGCCAAAGTAGAGTCCCTGGTCGCCCGGCTTCATACCGGACTGCGGCTTGATGGTGAGGTCGAGGTCTGAGACGCCGTAAAAGTGCGCCTGGGGTTGGTGGGGAAGCGGAGGAGGATGGGATCCGATCCGGGAGTGAGCGTGAGCATACGGAACTGGAGAGTGAAGGGAGCTCCGGCGATGGTGGGCGGCAGTCGAAGAAGGCCTGGGCATGTTGTCCGGAGACGCAAAATGGGGGTCCATCTGGTAGCTGAGAGGCCGCCTCGGGTGACTGGTGGGCGGAGAGGGCGATGCCGGCGACGGCGTCATGAAGGCTCTCTGGGCCGTCCAGCCATGGTGAAGGCGGCCCGAGTCTTCGTAGGAAGAGGGCTGCGTAGGCGGCGATTCACTCGCCAGAGCGATCAGGTTGCTCGGAGAGGCTGCCATTCCGTTTGTCGCCCAGTCATGTATCACGCTCGGAGCGGTGCTTGCAGAAACCGAAGTGGTGGACAAGGCATCCAAGGAAGGCGACGGCTCAGGATTGTCATTGTCAGGAGCAGCCGTAGGCCTTATCTCGGGCGTGTTGATGGGAGGAGAGGAGGCGTTGGAAGTAGGAATGCTCTTCGGGGTGTCGTTTCCACTTTCGTCGCCGTCGTTGACAGGTCTCCTATTTATTCACAAGCACCAGGTCAGCAAACCCAGCCGTCCATATGGCATCGAATTGTGCCCAAGACCCGAGGCAGCAAGGAGATGCGCAGCAGAAAGGATGAGTCACGAGGCCGAGAGCCATGCGCTGCGATGCCTTGCCATGGGCCATGGGGGGGTGTTTTAGCGGGAGGACTCACGCGAACTTGCCGGCCGTCTGTTTGGTCACCGCTGCGGCAATGCCGCCGCTGTGCTTTGCATTTTTCCTTTCCTTCTTGGCTGTAGGGAGTTCATAGGTCAGCGATAACGCCCTTTTTTATGTGTTTTCTGTATGTATGTCTGGCGGCCGGTCGGTCTGTAGGTCGGCCTTGTCGTGCTTCAAGGGATGGCGATGCACGGCTTATCGCGGTGTCGTCACAGCAGTGGTACAAGATAAGACGGGACTGTTACTCACCCGGCATTCAACCTGTGTAAGGGGATTGGAGCAGTGGTCCCGCTCCAGCTGCTTTTGCTTCCGCAGAACGAAACGGGTTCTGGAAAGCCAAAGCTAAATCTCGTTTGCTAAGTCGAGAGGGGGAAAAAAAGAAAAGAAAAAGCGTAGTTGAGGTATAATAGGTATGAAAGTATCGTTCCGTCTCGATCAGCTCGATGGGCAAAGATGAAAGCTTCTCGTCGGGTAGGGCCAGGTACTAGGCAGCTCCGGTAGCAGCAGGTCTAGTAGGTGTAGACGAGATTTGAGGTACCGCCCGATAAGGGGTTTGCCTGCGGGAGGAACAGAGGGGCTATCGACGGTGACGAGGGGTTCGTTCGCGTCGTCCTGAGGTACTACTAGGCAGATATACTCGTAGTAGTACGGGGGGATGAGGAGATGATTGGCAAAAGATGAATACGAAAGGTGCAGTAATACGCTGGTTCGTGCGACAAAAGAAACAGGGCGATCTCTAGGTTGGTATAAGTATAGCAGGTAGGCAGAGAATGGCGCAGCCACCGGCCTCGTTTTTTGGTGTTCGTGAGAAGATGCGACGTCTATCGTTAATACAGCAAGATGTATGATGTGGTATCGAAACAAGAACAAAGAGAAGAAAAAAAGGTCGTGTAAGTACTAAACAAGATGATTATTATTCAGAGCAGAGCTGATCAAAGAAAGAGACAGAAGTGCTGTTTGAGCTGGTATCGTATGGATCGTTTGACGGTATGTTGTATGTAATGGATGTAGTGTAGCAATTGTAAAGAGATGAAGGTTCCGCTGTTGCTCAAGACGTTCGGGGGGTGGCAGCTTTGATGAGTGGCCGCCCGCCCAATTACAGCTACACTGACACAGGTACAGCATCCATCAATCAGCATCAACATGAGCACTCGGGCATGTACCTGCTGGTACTGCGACGGCCAGGGCGCTGCCGTCAGTGACTCCCATTCGATAACGCGGGGGGAGAAGGTTCCAGGTCCGCTGGCCGGGCCTTGCAGTGGCAGCTGTCGGGGGGCGTGATTCCGCCAAGGGGGGGCGCCGAAGGGGGGGTATCCCAGCTGGGAGGTCAGAGGGGGGGAGGGGGCGTGCCGCGTACAGTGACGGAGAGGTACAGTACTGGGCTCAACTGGCAGAGAGTGACGGAACAGTGGTCAGCGGCCACAGGGGCAAACAGCGCTCGCGGCAGCGCTAATCTCAGCTGGGCGAACCTGGAGTCTGGTGCTTCTAGGGGTCAAGTCAACTGGCGTCTTGTCTTGTCTTGTCTTGTCTCTCCCGACCTTGTCGTCCATGTCGAGTTCCGGCGGTTTCCATCTCAACGACGCATGGGGTACAGAGGGACTTGTGCAGGTGCGGTTTTGGTTAATGCAAGGTACCTCGAGATTGGTAGCATGGGCGATTACATTACATCAACTGGACTTTTCCTTTTCCTTTTCCTTTTCCTTGCCTGCTGTAGGTACCAGGTACGCGGCAGTCGGAGGTACGAGTACATGGCAGGTACCAAGTCATCTGAGCGCAATCTGCCAATCGAATCAACGGGCTGCCACGCGCTACAGTGCCTATCGCTGAGTGGCCCTGCGGCGCGTTTAATCCATTGACTGGCCGCATGTAGTCTGTACCTGGAAGCAGCAGGGTAAACCGAGAGCCCTTGAGTTCATGACGCACGTACATGGTACCTGATAGCACTGGAGTTGTAGGACGATTCCTTCCCCCCCCGGGCAGCGCCGACAATCATGTACCTTTGATGTAATCAAATCAAATGCGACGACGAGCACATCGCGGCTAGAAACGCTCAAGTCACTTCTTGGTCATCCGCGTCCAAGTACCTCTCCCCCAAAGCAAGACAAGACAAGAACAACCTTGACAAAGCGGCATTTCACTAGCACGCCTCAGCCACCTCACCAGACCAGACCAGACCAGACCAGTTGACCGGCTCCGGCGCGTCATCAACATCATCAGCCCGTTGCCAAAATGACGTTCCCCGCCGAATAGGAATAGGGATGCGACGCCCCGGCAAATGACTAAGATTGATACGATACGATACCAGCTACTTCACTCCTCTCCTTTCTCTCCTTATCTCTCTGTAGCCGCAGAGTACTACCTACTCCGTATGCCAGCTGCAATCATATCCGGTGCGGAGTTGCCCGGCGAGAGTAATATCAACCACCCCGTGCAAAGTTACCGGGTTTGCTCAACAAAAGGAGCAAAAGATGCTGCTGATAAGCTCATCTCAACTTCTGCCGTTCACGTTCACAGCTCGTCTTGATGCAATGCTCCGGCCCTGTTGCGCCACAACTTCTCTCCCACACACACATACACACACCCCTACCTTAGTACCTATGTACCATGGATGTTTTTCCCTTTTCGCATCGCCAGGAATATGGGCACCCGTGGAAGCTGAGAGAAGGATCCGCAAAGTGCTATAATTACCGCCCTGCTATGTACCAAATCATTAAAACCAAGTTGCAGCTATCACTCCGGACGGAGGCGTGACGAGGTGTCAGGTGATGGGTGCCTCCTACGCCATGGACACGCACCTCTTCCTTTTTTCCTCTTCCCCCCCGTGGCAAATCAAAGCTACGAGAAAGCAGTTCGCGTTTGTTTTGATAATAGATCGGATTTCCCATAGAGCGCTAAGTTGCCCAAGCCCAAAAATCCTACTGTACTCCGTATTAGAGAGTTAGTACTGTAGTCTAGATAATGCAAGGGACGGTGACGCTGCCGCGGGATCGCCACTGGGATTCCGGGGGAAAGCCTCTAGAAGTCTAGACAAACACAGCAACGCAACAACCGTAACCCCTCACCTCCATCAATCGTTCGAAATCGTCATCGTCATTCACTCACGTCCAGAAGAACAAGAGATTCTCTTACGTTTCTATCCGTCGCTCCGTATGTACTGCACCACAACAATCTCCCTTCCCTCCCCCATTGCCGGTATCGCAACACACGCCCCCCCTTTGTGCTGATAAGCTCCGATGGAACCAAAACAGCCTCGTTGCTTATCTATCGCGGCTGCATGTGGCTGCTTGTGCCTGTTTTTTTCCCCCTGCAAACAAACGGGTTCGAAACGTCAGCACGTTAAGTAAAACATTTGAAACGGATGGCAGTGATTTGTCCCTCTTTACGTCTTCGTAACAGTCTGGCGTTTTCATGTGAAACAGTTCGAGTCTTTTGCGGCAATGATTCAAAGCACCTCATAGTGGAGTATCAACGCAACACTGGCACAGCACGCAAAAGTATAAGCAGGTACTAATGCAAGAGATGGATGCGGTGCCAGCAGCAAAATTGCTATTTATATTCGCGTGCACAAACCTGGATATTGATCAACTACTTGTATATTGGTGGTTTTGGTCTACCTGTATAATGTAGACATGCTGTACCTCTCCCTCTCTCTTCCTCTCTCTCCCGAGCCTCTACTTGAGCAGAAATACCCGGTACTCTGCCAACTTCCACGTCTCCTCCCCGCCCTCAACCTGCACCTTTCTCAGAACCGCGTGTCCTGCCCATGGAACGATGCTCGAGTTGCCGTCCTTGGTCTTGTACTCCACGTCGCCGTGCAGCATCAGCTCGGACCTCTTGCTGTCTTCATTGTCGTTGAAACGCGCTGGGAATACTTTGGTAACTGTGTGCTTTCGCTCTGCCACGACAGACCACATTCCCTCGCGCATTGTGCGGAGCTCTATTGTGCTTCATTAGTATACGTGATTGAGTAGGCAACACTGAGCATATCAACCAAGCTCTCATGCAATTCAAGGCGGTGGTGTTCATCTGCTGGCACCTGATGTAAATACCCGACAACTTATAAGAGGCATCCGAAAGGGTAAGAAGCTCCCATTCTCATTCTCATTCAACCGCTCTCAAAGAAGAAGCACAAAAAAAAAACCCTCACCTTCTCGTCCATTCCCCTTAACAGGCCCCATGGCTACACGCGCATCCTCAGTAAACTGATCGAGCCACTTCTCGTTCAACTCTGGTCTATCGGATATTTTGTAAAAGTTGGTGATAAAAGTCCGGATCTCGGCGTCGGGAAGCCCATCGGGAACCGGATACAGAGGAACGTAACCCGCATCAGCAGAGCTAGCCATTTTGCATATATATATATATAGGGCGGTAACCCAGACAGGGTAAAGACGAAAGTGATGAGCGTGTAGTAGGAAGGAAAGCGAGAAACAATGAGTGTTTAAAAGGTCTTCAACCATCGCTTCTCTCGCGTACTTCTCCAAGCTAGAGGAAGTCTGTAAAAGGGCGTTGGTAATCAACCTAAGCCTTGGGTAATCAACCCCCGGCTTCCAATCAGAACCCCGCCTCCGGTCGGCTGTCGTCCCGTATGGCGGCAAGTTCCTCAACGTCGGATACGTTCCGCCGACCGAACATGCGATTCATGTTTGCGCCTCGTTTCTCGCTCTAGTCATCAAGGTGTGTATTCATGGCACCGGCACGGGTGCGGCCCGTCAATTTAACTGCGATGTAAACACACATCAGACAAGCCGTCATCGTATATAGGTATCTTTGGCGAAGCCGGGAGGGGAAAAAACACCCTTCAATCTTCTTGAAGCCTTAGGAAAGCAAAGAAGAAGAAGAAGAAAACATGTAGCCGCCATATCTCCGATATTTCGGAGCAAGTATATCGGCGAAGAGTTGCCTACCTCATGTTCCGTCCCAGCACCCGTATTCCAAGGCCCCCTAACTCCATGCTTCGCATTATTAACACAAGGCAATCAAAACACACAACATGCATGAAATAGGAAAGCCTACTTCTTAACCCCCCGAGCACTAATCTCTCCCTTCTCGCCAATGTTGAGAAGCTTACGACAGTCGGGGCAATACCATTTCGTCGTTCGCGCAGGGATATCCGAAAGACCTACACATTCGAGATGGAACCATTCCTGCTTGCAATTCTGCTTGCTTTGTCAGTGGACATGTTTGCCAACCCAGCAGGACGATTGAACTTACATCGACGTTATCACACTGAATCATGGTCCCAAAGCTCACCCTATTGCAGAGGCAATACCGTGGCTCGTCAGGATCAATGGGGTTGCCCTCATCGTCCACCTCCACCATCTCCTCCGTCACTTGACCCTTGTCTCTCTTAGTCGCGCGAGCCTTCCTCTTGGGTGCCGCTTTCCGCTTGCCAACGGCGCTGTTACCGCCGCTGCTAGTCGTACTGACAACACCGGGGGCGGGGCGTTTGGTACGTTTTCCCGGCTGCTTAACTTCGGGAACCGGTGTGTTGCGCGCCGTACTGGCACGGCGAGATCGATCCACGGCCAGTGACGGCTGTGGCTCCTGGCTCGCGGCCTTGCCTCGCGAGCCAGGTCGGCGAGAAGGGAGCGACTCTGGAGCAGGTGTTAACCTGGGCGTGCCGCTGCGTGATGACGGTTCAGGCGCCGCTGATTGGCCCCGTGGCAGTTGAGGTGACGTGGACGCAGATAGCTGCTGCTGTTGCTGCTGCTGCTGCTGCTGTGATCGCTTCGCCGCCTCTCCCCGCGTTTCACGCTTACTAGCCTCTCGCCCGGGCAACTCTCTAATCGTTGGCGGAGGGATAGGTGTGGTAGACATCCTCGGCTCGGTCTTGGGAAGAGGGACAGGGGTTTCGAATGGAGCCTTGCTGGACGCGGGAGTAGAGACGGTGACAGTGCCATTGCTCGCATTGGCTGGAATGGTAGGGCCTGGCGCTGGAGACGTTGCTGACCTCGTAGTGACGGAAGACTGTGGAGGAATGGGGATCGGCACGGGAGTCTCCGACTGGGGAACAGCACTAGCTACCCCAGACGTCGTGACGGCTTGTGGTGCAGAGTTGTCGGAGGAGACCGAGCTGCCCTGTGCAATCAGACCGGGCACTGGCGGTGGGACGGGTGTCTCAGTCTTGGTGCGCTTCAACTGTGGCCGCGAGGATGGCAATGCTTCACCGCCTTCTGTCGGTGCTACTGCTGCGGCTTCGCCATTGGTCTCCTCTTCAACGTCTCTCTTTCGCTTGGATCTAGAATTAGTCCGCGGCTTGGGCTGCGGCCCAGGGCTCTTTGCGTTCTCCGGCGTCATGCTGGAGGTAGTACTACTACCCAAGAACAGTTTTGCCGCCTGCTGCATCTTACGGGCAGACTCCTCGGCTTCTTCGGCGGCCAGTTTTGCGAGCTGCTCTCTCTTGAGCTTTTTGGCCTCGTTGAGCTTCATGCCCCGGTTGCTGGTCGGTACTTCGGTGGCAGCCAGAGAGTCAACGCTGATGGCGCCAGCAGGCATCTGTCGAGTGCCGGATTCGTTGTCGATGATGGGCGTCGGCACCGTGGCCTCAAACACCCGGCCCTCCTCCTCTGCCTTCTTCTTGGCCTCTCTGTAAGCATCGGGTCCACGACACAATGCCTTTAGTTCCCTAGCTATCATAGTCTCGCTAGGCGTCCATGTTGCATTCTTCTTCATCCGTTTCCTTAGCTTGGCCAGCTCATATTGGGTCAGCTGCAGCCACGGCGCATCAGGGCTGCCAATGACGGCGTTCTCAGGGGGAGGATTAAGCAGCGCAGCCGCATTTGCAGCAGCCGCAGCACTCAAAGCAGGCGTAGCATATTGCCCTCGTGAAGAGCGGCCACTAGATTTCTGGCTCTTGTTGCTGACTAGTTTGATCCGAGGCGTGGGAACCTGTATCCTGCGGTTTGTAGCTGGCGGTTCGGACTCTTCATCAGAGCTGATATCGCTGTCATCGCTAAAGGTGTCGTATTCGATTTCGTAGGGGGCGAGAACCTCGCCGGGAACCGTGATTCGAGGGACTCGGGACCGTCGCACTTTCTGCCCGTCTTCTCCCGTAGCTCTAACCGTCAGCTTCGCCCTCGTCATCTGAGGAGACCTGGGCTCGACAAGAGCCTGCTCTTCCGTTGGGTAGTTTTCCATCATTGTCTTGAGCTTAGAAAGCAACGCCGTCGCCTTGTTGTAGTGACGGTTGACATTGTCTGCCATCCTGACTGCCTCTGCGTGGGCAAAGATGCGCGAATCTAGCGCCTGCTTCAAGTGCTCCGAGATGTCAGCGCGCAGCTGCACCGGCGATGGGCGCTCATGGGCCGGTAAGCCTGGAAGCTGGCCCCATACTGTCGTCAAGTCATCGACCTTGTGTGAAGCATCCGCATATCTCTGATCCAGCTGGCCCACGAGGGTGAGGGAGCGCATCATGTCGGCGGGCAGGTATTCCGTGAAGTCGAGGAAGTCGGTGACTGTCGTCTGCGCATCGGGATCGGCGCGTGCCGTGAGGACGCTGCTCATTGGACCCATGGAAGGGCCTTCGGCGATCTCAAAGGTGGCCGTCTTCGTCTTTGGCGAAACAACCTCCTCATGATCCATGGCGGCTGGGGCGTTTGCGGACTCGGTTGAGGTGGCCATGTTTGGCAGTGGCAGCGCAATCTCCAGCACCTGCAGACTCGTGGCCGCGCACCAAAGATTTCGCACTGCTCCGTAGACGCTGGTCAAATCAAGGGCTGTCGGATATTGAATATTCGCACTCGACGGCGTCCATTTGGAGATGCTCAACGTCGTCGCGATCCGGTCGATTGTTGGCGTGACTTTGGACAACCGCGTTGCGATGGCTAGCTTCCTTTGGGGCACTAAAGCCCGGTCCGTCAGGGAGGGAAGGAGGACCGTGCGCCGTAAAGTGTCTTGGTGCAACCGCACCCCAGGCTGAGTCATCACGGCTGCTGTAAATCGGACGAGACCTGGGCTTTTCAGCTCCGGACAATTTGGTTCAGCTGAAGCAACATCACACAAAGGCACGAAAAAAAAATGTCTCGTTGGAATATTTGCGACGTTATGCTGGTGCTACAGCGATGTTACGGCCGTTACATTTGACTACGCATTTTCCCCTCTCTTTTCCCACCTACACCAAACTGAAAACCGTTTCAGTGGTTTGGCAATCCTTCCCACAGGAATTACGATATGCCTGCCCTGTCTAGTATGCAGCAAACATGAACCTTGCAGAGGCAGCCGAAGGCGGTAATATACTACCTAATTAATTGCTGACACGGTAATCTCGATGAGATCCTAGCTTGTGAGATTGTCCTTATTTCATTGATCTCATTTCTTAATCTATATTACTACTCCATTTCTCAGGGGGGGGGGGAGGTCCCTAACCTGGCAACCAAAACGTTCCCTACCTGGCCTAGTACCCATACACAAAAGAAAACACCATGTCTATATTGCGATTCATACCATGCTCTGCTCCCCAGTGGGTTCAAAAGCTCTCTATCGTTTCATCATGACAGAATACATGTCTCAAGCACACGCATCCTCCAGGGTGTTTCTGTTGGCTCACAAATCCCAATCGGCCTCCGTATCCCGCATCAGCTTAGCCCCCGCAATTTCTTCCGATTCCTCCACGAGATAGGTGGAATCTGGTCCAATGAGGGTCAATGAACCATATAGAACCAGGCGTCTACATTTCCTATTGTGATTCTCAAGTCAGCCGTGGTGTCTCCGTGGCGGCAACAGCCTTGTTGGCGCGTGGGGATTCAATCTTACAGGAAGCCAATGATGATCAAGTTTCCCCAAACCTCGAGCTCTACCCCCTCAAGGGTACCTTCTACTCTCAGCTTTCCATATCCAGTGATCTTGTCGCTATGTCGAACCTGCATTAGCAACAGTGTGGACGTGTGTGATGGCGTTTTACGGCTACTCACCTCGAGCCTAGGTAGCCGCTGATCAAGATGTTGCCGTACGCTTTGATCTGTCCCCTATTGAAGGCACGAGTCAATATTGTTCTCGATCCTGGTCGCCCCCTTCTCTGCAAACCCCCCCTTTCGATGAATTGGTCAACTTACTGGCAACTCAACTCTCCATTTGTGGTGATGTTGCCATAGGCATCGATGGGACCTCTGACGGAGACACTGCCCTGGAAGTTGATTCCACGGCCGGATTGCACGGAGCCGGCTACCTCAAGCGGGCCTTGGACATTGATCTCGTCTTCACTCTTGATACTCTTGGACTTCTTGATGCTTCTTGGCGCCGCATATCCTGACGTCGATCCAGAAGCATAGTGCTCTGACATGGCCGGAGAAATGGGAGAGGACGGTGGCAGTTATCCAATTCGGTAATGGAGAGCCCCGACGGTATTCAACGGGAAGAATACTAGTCTTTAACTTTAGGGTATCGGCTGATTAGCGCTCACGCCCCTTGTCTGGCGATAGCCGAGAGAACCTGTCAATGATGAGCTTTCGTTGACATTTTCCAAAAAGGCCAGGGCGAGGGGCATCTTATACACATAAGTCAAATAGCGTGTAACGAGTCTTGGGGGGTGGTCAAGGGCTTCTCCCGTATGCTTCAATGCGAAGCGCCGCCGTAACAAGAGGAAGAAGGGGGAGAAGGGGGAAAAAAAGGAAAACACCCCGGGAATCAGCTTCGTGGGAAGGGGTCAGTCAGAAGATGCAGACGCAAGACGAGTTGGTGATGAGTCTCCGCCGTCGCCTGATTGCACCCCTGCCAGCAACAGTCATGTTCTGTTCAGCTCACCGTTTCCCCGACAAAGAGCTGAACAGGCCCGAGTGACGATTCCTGCCTTGTTTGCCCTTGGCCGTGTCTCGTCTCGTCCTATCTCTCCGCCTTACGGCTCCTTTGTCATGAAAGAGAAGGCCAGATGCGGTAGGCTGTGTGACTGGGCGACTGACCGGCTCTGCCCACCCCCCGTTTCGGCTGTCTCGACGGCAGGCAGCGTGGTAATATTGATAATATTGGCCCGGACGGGGCGGGTTGACACGGCAGGGCAGAGCAATTATTGGAAATCCTCACTCCGCACGAGGGGGTGGCCAAGGCAGAAGAGGAGCCGACGACGGTGGAGAAGAACGAAGGAATCAAGGCCTGCCTCGTTTGGTGCTGCTCTGCTTTTTGGTGTAAGTGCTGGGAGCTGGGAGCTGGGAGCTGCGGAGATGGGAAAAACAGCCCTGCTCAAACGTGGCATCCCGGTTTGTCTAAATCCTTGGACCAAGAGCCTCACCTGGCTTTTCTTTTCTTCTTTGTTCTTATTTTTTTTTTATGTTTTTATGGAGCCGGGGTTTCTTACGGGTATACGGGGTAATGCCTCTCTCCTCTCTCCTCTCTTCTCTCGGTACTATTTTTTTTTTCTGTCGTTGTCTTTTTTTCCCCCCATCTTGAACTAACACCGATTTAAAACCCCTCAGTAGCTCTTAGTTGTTGGTGAAATTCCCCCTCCTCTCTTTGGAAACAGTAGGGAAAAAAGAACCACTTGGTGCAGCGGGCCCTCCTTTCTCAGATCCCGAGGGTAAAAATAAAACAAACAAACACATGGACAAATCAAGCTCTAATGCTTAGCAATGACCCGAACAAGAATCTCGCCAAGCTCCCCAAAAGGAAAAAGAGGCACAAGACTCTCTCATCCCATCGAGATGCTACCCTCGAAAAAAAAAAAAACTAGTAGTGGCTGGCTACACAAAGCATGGCAAACTCACATGGCAGCCCAACCCCAACCAAAAAAAAAAGACCCGAAGTTCAGGTTCTCTTCTTGATTTATTGCGTCTAGTATTACCCATCAGAAGTCCCCTTGCTTGCTTTCCCGGGTTCAGGATCCAGCCCGGTTGAACCAAGAACCTGCTTGTTGGGTTTTTTCCTTTTTCTTTCTTTCTCAGCCTTTTCCGCACGTGTCCCCGGCATATGCACGAGCCCAATGCCTGCAGCCAAACCTCCCCCCCCCATGCAAGCTGCATCCGTCCTAGTTTTTTCAGCTCTGAGCCCAATATAGAAGCGCCCCCCAGTGAGCCCTGCTTGGGGGCCGTTTTCTCGTGCTCTTTCATCGTGCATTTGCATAGGCGGACTTGCGATGGGCATTTTTGAATCAGTGCCTTGAATGGACCGGTCAGTCAACTCTCACACCCTCTCGGAATCTCTCTCCCCCCCCAATGAAAAACTGCCAGCCTCAATAATACCTAGTACTACTACATCGTCATCACCGTTTTTCTGGGCTACCTTCTGCGCTCTGTGTGACCCCTAGCCTGGGGGGCAGATTGAGTTGGTGATAACCGAGCAAGGGGGACTCCGCTGCCTCGTGTTAAGCATGCTCGAATTCCGGGCTGGAAAAAAAAAAGTAACTTGACATGAAAAGTGTCCCCTCGAAACATCATACTCTAAAGGGCATTAGTTCATCCCCCATCCCCCATCCCCATGCCACACCCACAAGGCTTCCGAGAACAAAGAGTGAAAAGTGTTGCCAATGCCCTTCGTATGCGAGTACACATCAAAACTCGTGCTCATACAAACGCACGTGCCCCTATAGCAATCGCCTCACTCACCGTCGGCGTTTCAGTCATCCATCTCCATTATGACGACGGGAGCTGAACTGATTCCCATCGCACAAGCATGATCAAACAAGGGCAAGATTGACTCTCGTTGAAATTGTGTGTTTTTTTCCCTTTCCTTTTCGTCGGTTTTCGTCACTCTCCGTCATCCCCATGCTCACTGCCTCGTGCTGAAACAAGAAAGTAGCTGCCTATGAGGATTGTTTTTTTCTTATGCTAAGCCCAAGCATTCCGTATACACCACCAAACTACCCTGAACCGTACACAAAAAAAGCAGATAAAGAAACAAGGAAAAGAGAATACATGTAGCCAAGCCAATAGCAAACTTCATCTATTCCTCCCCCTCCAGAGAGAGAAAGAGACAAAGAAACAAAGCAAATGGCCAAAAACAGAACCCTCCCGACCCATTCAAAGATCCGAAATGAGGCACTAGAATACTGTACACATTGTAAATAAGCAAAGATAAGCAAAAAAAAGAAGCAAAAAGACGTAGACAGTGCTGCCTGTCTCCAGTCACATCCAATATGTCCTCCCGAAACCTCATACATGACGCCGTCGTCAAAACGATCCTCACACAGTTCAGTCACGTCCCACGAGTCCCAGCCCTAGGCCCGTGCATAGAGCTGCAAACACCCACACAGCTGCGTATGCCGCAGCCCCGGCAGGCTCAACACCGGGGATCGTCATGGCGCAGGCGAGATACGTGTTGACGCCCGTGACCAGCAGAGTCACGGCGGTGCGGCCAATGGCCACCTTGGCCTTGGTGGTGTAGCCCAAAAAGTTCCACCACATAGTCTCTCCCAGGCTGGCCTCGACAGGGTTGAAGTTGGTGACGCGCTCATCTTCCTTTGTCTTGCCCGTGGTTGCAAACGGCGGGAAGATGAAGGTGCTGGCGGCAGCCCCAAACAGCAGCGTCACAGGCAGCACGGTGGTGTAAGAGGCCGCGTACGCCGGCTCAAGGTTGGGCAGACCGTTGAAGTGGAGGACAAAGATCTGAGGCAGCAAATATCGCAGCGACGAAACCAGAACGACGGTGTATATGCTCGTCGACAAGGCCGCGGTGAGCAGCTGGAGAGGCAGGCCAATGAGCTCGCGGTTGGGCAGCTTCGAAGATGGCTTGTGGACGGCCGAAAAGGGCCGCAGGAGAGAAAACGGAACCGATGCAGAGACGACGTCAACGGCCAGGGCAGCAATGGCCGTTCTCGGGCTGAGGTTGTAAAAAGCGAACAAGAGATACATCTAGAAATTGCAAAAGTCAGCTTCATCCGCCACACGTCTCCACAGCGTGGCAGCAGAGGAGAAGGAAAAAAAAAAAGCTCTTCGTGTACATACCGCCGGTCCGTGGGACAAGAAATCCATCATGGCGACATCCAGCCCATCCAGCCCGCTGAACCAGCTCAGCGCCAGCTCAAATCTACGCCGTCTCGTTAGCAAAAGATGCCGAAACCCCCAATTCTCGTCGCGAAAAGCAAAGCCACACTCACATCCTCCAGCCAGCCAGGATGCCGATGTCCTGTTGCGTCTCCTGGCTCCGGCTCACACTTGCCAGCTCCCCCTTGGTCAGCTCGGCCACCACGCTGTACCCAAGACTCGCCGTAGCGAAGCTGATGGCCGCCACGAGCGGGAACTGCACCAGCGTGGGGATCCTGGCCGAGGGCGCTGCCTCTACTGAAGATGGAGCTCCTCCATCCTTCGCAGGAGTGCTGGCGCTGCTAACATCACCGCCATCGCGGCGCTTGGGCATTGTCTTGTCGACAGCCTTGTCCCTTGACCGGTCTGGCGTCGCTACCTTCTCCACGACATCCGCATCCGCATCCGCAGCCCCCCGCGCAGCCTCGCCTCTCTGCGCTCGCCGCAGTGTCGGCATCGTGGCTTTTCTTGTGAGTTTTGTTGTTTTGAGCTGGTGCTCAAGCGAACCGAGCCTTGTGTGTTTTGTTTTGGAGCTGGTGTCCAAAGCGAACCGAGTCCGCAGAGGTTGGTCGTTGGGACGTGCCGTGCCCCGAAATGCGCGTCTCCCACGAGGTCAACACGACTAGATGAGTAAGCAGCCGAGCACAATTGTCGCAGCTGCACTGAAACTGAGGCTATCACGAGCTTTTCCGCGTCAATGCAAGATAAAAAAAGATTGATTAATCGATTGTGTTTTGTTGAGGGTTTGATTCCCGCTTCGGGGAAGCTTGCCCGCGCCGGATAGCTGGTGGAGCAACGTGACGTTTAGGTCGCTGGGGAAACAACGCCTGCCCAGGTCCCCGCTCTTTCTCGATGGAGCTCAATCCTAATCTCAGCTAAAGCTCAATTTCTTTCTCTCTAGGGTCTGCACCAAATTTTTCTTTCCACATCTCTCGTCTCTCTTCGCCATGAAAATCGAACTTGTCCATTCTTGCCGTGGCCACTGCTGGACTCGTTGCGTTACAGTCACCGATTCGCTCGTGTTTGTGGGCTAGATTTGATTCATATCAGTTGGCAGTCTTCAAAAATGCATAACCATTATCATTATCACTGTGCACGTGTGCTTTCTGTATCATGGCATGGGTTTCTAGTGATGGTGTGAAATGTTTTGATTATTTTCTTTTCTTTCAAAGATCAATGCTTTATTCAGAATTTATTCGGGCGTACGCTCGACGCCTCGTCGAACCCTCACTTTAACCTCGTGGAGGAGCAATCTCATCTCAGACCATGATCAGTCCAGACGGGCCCTCCACTCTTCGGTGCTGAAGATTCGACAGCGGAGCAGAACCACCTCCAATACAGTTGCTTCGAGTATATCGTTGTACAAAAGAGACACCGCGCCGATTTCCCTTCCCAGTTGGTGATATCCATAATTCATTCCAGAGCAATCCGACTCCAGGGGCCACATTATATAAAAAAACAACAAGAAGAATAGCGTTACGATTCGAGTTCCCAAGAGAAGTTGCTCCGTCCCATACCCAATAAGTTTACTCCTCCATACGACCAAAAACTCCGTCGTCGTCTTCGTCACTGCGAGCGCGGGATCGCATATCGAAATCGTCTTCGCTATCCTCCATCTTGACATCCTCACTTCCGCGACGCATCTCGCCACGGGTGAAGCTTTCGGGCTGCCTGCTGGGGTAGCTGTTGATGAAGCCAGCGCTGGCAAAGGATGCGGCTTGATCCAGGAATTGAGCTGGGACGGGTGGTACAGGGGGTGCGTCCTCGACATGTGTTACAACGGGTCGTGAGCCATTGTTGCTGCCAAAGCTGCAGCTCAACAACTCGACAGCCGCAGCCAGGTCGTGATCGTCCTCGGCGTTGGCGTTGATCCCGGAGGATGATGGCCGCACGTCAATGCTACCGCTGCGGCCATGGTCGAAACCGTGCGCGTTGGGAATGCTACCAAAGAGGAGAGGGTTCGACGGCTGCGGGGATTGAAAGCTTCGAGAAAATACGCTGCCCATGCTGTAACGCTTGTCGCGGTATGCAGAGGTATCAAATGCATGTCCCTCCTCGGTAATCGGGGGTGGGGTAGTGTCAGCGGAACTCTGACCATCTGCTTGCTCCGAGTAGCCAGAGGCGGTGGGCGACGAAGCCGTTTCTGGCTCGCTCGCAAAGTCCCTGGCAGAGTCCGGAGGGGTGACTGATCTCTCCTTGGGGTTGCCGTTCATGGCCACCAGGACAGACGCCGCCTCAAGCAGCTGCACTTGCTGGTGCTTGGAGATGAGCAGCTTGGAGGTGAAGGACCACTCAGGAGTGTGCTCCCATCTAGTACCCAACGAGTCAACAAATGAAACTCAAATCACGCATGTTTTGCCAGTGTAAAGAGCGAAAGAGGGAGGGGAGGGAGAGGAAGAGGAAGAGGGGGAAAAGCCGAGGACCGGAGGTAGGATGAGGCGTGCCACCCAAACCTAGGCAAGTGCAGACATCACAGGTACAAGAGGGGAGGGAGACCAACAGATGCTTCGTCAGACAGCTGCTGTGCTTGTAGCCCTTGCCGCACGTTTCGCAGCGGACCTCTACTCGGCTGCTCTTCTTGCCATCCTTGGTCAGAGGCTGTCCGTCGCTGGCTCGCCTTATACGGGCCTGGTCGAGGTGGGCCGCCGCCTCGTCGGCCGAAAGCTCGTTGGAGTCGTCGTCGATGGCGCTATCCTGGACCTCTCGCTTGGCTTCCAGCAGCGACTTGTTGGGCAGGCTGGCGGGTGGTGAGGGCAGGCCGTCCATGAGGCCGGCCCGGACGGCGGACTGCTTGGACATGGTGTTTGTGTTCCGCCTCCCCCCGCTCGCAATCGGAATGGCACCGCTCTGCTCGCTCTCTCGAATGGCGGCCGCGAGAGCAGCGACGTTGGCGCCGGGCGTGGTGACGGACTTTCGGCGAGTGATTCGGTGTGAGGAATTGAGGGCACCGGCGAGGAGGGAATGCGAATGCGAGTTGGTTCGGGCGTGGGATTGACGGCCGGTCAGGGCCGAGGATGCGGAGGTCGACAAGGGAGAACGCTGGTGCATCAATGGCCTCGTAGAAGGCTGCATCTCCTGCGGGTGAACAAAGATATCAGCAAAAAGAACCGGAGCCTCACGAGCGCAGGAACAAGCCACATCGGCAACTCCCAGACGACGGCATCAGGTCATACTTTTGAGGAGGCCATTGCCAGGCGGGCTTGAATTGCTCGGGAGTGCGAGACGGCACACGCTGGACCGTCGCACGCTCGGGGGAAATGAAGTGGCAACGCTATCGATCACAGACGATGTCCAGCACAAGAAGGTGTCCGGCTCGACCAGATGCTATGCTTTGGTATGTTCAACTCAGCGCGGGTAGATGTTGTGAAGGAGAAAAAAAAACACAGGCCAAAAAAAAAAAAAAAAGCCAGGATCTCTTCGCAAAGTAGTGAGAACGAGAAATAATTATTTTGGGAGGAACAATCCGGCGCCAGGCAAGGGAGTGTGTGTGAGTGTGTGTAGATGCGGCACGGCGGGGGCGCGTGTATTAGCATGAGCACCCGGGCGGTCTTTGGGTACGGAGGAGGCGTCTGGGACCTTGTACGGAGTACATGAGGAGGGACGATACGGAGTAGGGACTGGTACTGCGTCCCGCATTGGAGCGCTGTGAACGCTGCGCAGGGCCGAAGTACCTGCTAACCAAGGATACCCGGGTTGACTGTACCGAGTACCGGGACGCAGGCTGGATCGCAGGTAGGAGTACAAGTATAATGTTGTGCCAGACGCAGAGCCGCGACAGAACACAAAGACACAAAAAGACAAAGGGCTTTCTTTTCTCGTTCTTGTCGAGATTGAGAATGGAAATCGAAATTGCGTCAAAAGGCCAGAAACAGGGCACGGAACACCCTCCGTGCGCTGCGTACTTCGTACCTGGGCCGCACTTCGGTACCTGGTACCCCGTGCTGGCGCTGGGACTCCGTACTCCGTGCAGGAAATCAGGAGACAAGACGGGCAGCCAAACGGCAGGGTTTCCCATTTCCATGGTTTGCCTCAGCCAGGCCCGTTAGTGAGCACGAACAAACGTTCAGCCCGTGGGGCGCAGCACCGATGGCTGGTGAGAGCCGGAAAAGAGTGCCAGTGCCAGTGCCAGTGCCAGTGCCAGTGCCAGTGCCAGTGCCAGTGCCAGAAGAGCGAGAGCCACAGAGGGCCAAAGGCACGTCCTTCCAGCGGCTTCCACAGGCGCCCCATCAGGGCCTCTCCATTTTATTTTTCCCGTCGCAGTCGCGCGCGCCCGACGGTGGGGTGTAGCCAAGTCTGACTGGGCCATTGGCCCGCTGACCCGGGTTGATCACCAGGTCGAATGGAGAGGCCGTAAAGGGGGATGCTGGAGGCATGCGAAGGAGCAATTGGAGGGCCACAAAGAAGGTGGCCGGGGGGCGTGTGGCGAGAGGGCTCTATGTACTCGTACGCTAAAAAAGGGTCGAGCTTGGCCTCTACAGTGCCAATATTCGTGATCGATTGATTGATTCTCTCCATCCCTTTGGGGACAGTACAGTACAGTTCAGTACGGTGATTGAATGCAGAAGACGGAGGTTGCTGTGCTTGTAATGTAGTGGAATTATTAGATTAGATTGATCCAATTCCATCAATCATTTTTTTGTCTGACTTGACTGACCACGGCACATGTCCCCCTTGGAAGAAGCCCATCCAGGTTCTAATCATGACAGCCCCAGCATATCGGACGGCTACATACAGCACAAGGTACTCGTACCTGTACCGGCAAGGGAGCGCTGGCACTAAAAAGGGCACGACCTCAACTCCCTACCGGCCAGCTCAGCAGCATGGGGGACTGACCTGGGTGGGCTGTTTGGGCTTACTGGCACCGATACGTCCTACTAAGACAAGGTGCCGGGCAACGTGTCTCCCCGTCATGTCAAGCCCTATCAAGGAACATGGAATACGGCCCGTAATGGTCCGGAAAGGGATGAGGGCTGCCTCCTATCGGGGCCGTGGTTGAGCGGGCAAAAGAGTTGGGAGGGGGACATGAAGGTATCAATTGAGGTACGAGTACTTTACAGAGTACAGGCTACAATCAATCAATCCATCACTCAGTCGATCAATCCAATACCAGATTCGACGGGCTGCCTGCTCCATACCGCTGCTACCTATAGGTAGTGCCAACTTTCTGATACAAAACAATGGAACCAGACGAAACGTGCTGTTTTTGTGCCTTACTCATCATCAAATCCCATCCAGAGCTCTCAACTCCCATTTATTAGCACCGTCCTGGCTGTACCTACATGCTACAGTACCTGGTACTACACCGTCCGCCTCACATGACGAGCGCCAGCAGTTTCTCGCACGGAGGCACCTGATTCAGTCGATGGAGGGGGAGTGGCTGACGAAGGAACCAACGCTGAAATGAAAATCGATGGATTCGACCTAGTAGTAGTACCAGTATTGCAGAGTACTCGTATGTACCTTATTAGTTCTTCGGGTATGTGAGAGCAGCATCCCGGCCTAGCGTCGCTGAGGGCCAAGTTACCGTTACCACTGTCAACTTGCTCCGCAGCCCAGCGCAAATAATCCCAATATTACCTTGGATGTACTCCGTTCTGACTGTACGAGTACATGCGAGCGAGTAATACTGAGGTCGTATTACCTACATGTGCTCTGTAGCTCGGCCGATTGGCGAAAAAAACGCATCCATGGTAATGAATTGCATTGGTCCGGGTGAGCTTAGTAGATACACGTAATAGGTATGGAATCCAATTGCCCGCAGATACACACATACACACACGCACAGATTAAAAAAAAGAAGAAGAAAAAAGGAGGGGGATTCGCTCAATGGGATTTCAGCTGAAAACGACAAGACCGAATTGAAATTGCTACTGGTTCAGCTCTCGCTTCGGCATCAGCAAGGTTCATGGGTCTTTTGCCGCTGGCCCAGTGCCATGATAAGAGCCCCAGCCCTACCTCCACGATACCGGAGCTTGCTATGACTACCATCGACCGTGGCTGCCCGCAAAATGAATCGCTCATCGTCGAATGAATGCTGCATCGGGACTCGATTCTCGCCAGGCCGAAGTGGATCAGCTCCCCCGAGCCCCGTTTCCACCCCCGCAACCACTGCAGACTCCGCAAGGCCTCTCACTTCCGTGTATTCGCTCCTAACGAGAGCACATCGTCGATCTGCTAAGAAACCGTCTCGTCTTACTAGCATTTCGCATCAATTCGAAAGCGGAGGGGGGCCAAGCTAGGGAGAAGACCTGAGCACGGCCGGGATTCTTGGTCTTTTCGGGGGCCGAATACGGCTTGGGTGAGGGGCAACGAAGCGGGGGAGAGAGAGAGAGATGATTTGGACGAGATAGATGGAAAGCTCCCATGTTCGTTGGGAACCGACGGGTGCGTCTAACCAGCTGCTTCTCGGCACCAAAGTTGAGTTTCCTGTGCAGATTGAGCCGAGCAAGTGATTGGCATTGTAGCAAAAGGTGTCAATTGGTCAAAGACGGGCGGCCTCTGCTCTCTCTGCTGGGTTGAGAATTGGCCGACAGGTAGGGGATACTTTGCGCTTCGCATGCATGTCTGAATCACCACTTGCTCATCTCCATCAGCCTTTCCACTTCCAGGCAAAACCAGAGACAACAACAACAACAACAACAACAACAACAAACCGCACACAGCAATCGGCTAAATGCGGCAGGTCCGGGGAATCATTAAGCATAAGGCCCAGATAGCGGAGTACGGGTTACGAATACTAGTAGTACTTCGTATGCCGCATCGCATAGTAGCAGCAGCAGCAGAAGAGCAATTGCGGTCACCGCTGGTCTGTAGATAGAACAGTAGCACGGAAGAGTCACCAGTTGATTAGGTTTGTCGCCATCAGGTATAAAGGCAGCCGGTGCGATGGAGACGTTGTGGATATCATGGAGACATGGAGCTATGAAGAGAGTAGCACCTTGTACGGAGTCAATTGGGGAGACTAACAACAGCAGAGAATAGGTCAACAGACGAAAGACGCCACCGGAGGAAGAAAAAGTACAAAGTAAAAAGAGACAAGAAGACAAGAAGACAAACATTAAACAAACAAAAAGAAAATAAGGAAAGAAACGCAAAACAGCACACGACAGGGGGATAAAGTCAAACCCCTGACGCAAAGAACAACCGAAACAGAATAGAATCACCGTGGAACAGAATAAAGAATCGGCAAGACAAAAGTCAGGCCACCACCATGTCGATGCGCCTCGTTATCCAGGAACCCGCACAAAACTGGACGCCTTCTTTGCCCTCTGGGTGGCTGAAGTTGCTCTTCTAGCACGAGCGCGATGACATTTTGATGATGGATGTCGTTTGCTTAGTAGCTAGCTGCACAGTGTCGAGTGCTGCGCTAACACGGTATTTCTTACAGGCACCAGTCTTTGCCCTAGCCACGGACAGCTCTAGTCTCATCCTCCCTCCCAGTGCCAACAATTAGGTTATCAAATGGATCAAATGTTCCTTGGAATTGATTGATTTGATGTTTATGCCGTCCAGTAGTTGGTGGACGCACCCCCCGGCCGTGCGCTTACGCAGGTCACGACTTCCGGCAGCGAACTAGTTCTAGGGCATTCGGCCATCCATGGCACCATCGCAGGCGCATCGAGCAAACATTTCGATGCCGTTGAACCACGTTGGCCGAATCATGGCCGTTGAAGCCTGCCTGGGCCGGGATAAGCTGTTGGCCCCCCCCCCTATTTTGTCAAAATAACGACCTAGATTAATCACTTACAATTGCCTAACCCGTTCGGCACCAATGCAGATTTCTGCAATAACAGCCCCCCCGAAACGGTTCCCAAAGCAGGCGACGAATGACATTGATCCCGCAGATAAGGGCAAAACCAACCTCAAACCACACAAAGGCAGAACCATGGAAAGAAAATTTGCCTCATCCATGGGCCCCTTGCAGCAAAATCATGCCGCCCAAGGAGATGCCGAATTCGTTTCTTTCTCCTTTCAGCAGCAGCTCTAGCTTTCCAACTTCGGTGCCTAACAGAAGGGAGAAAAAAACACCCCCCCCCCCAAGCTCTCTCTTTTCTTTGCTGATGGATCCCGTCCCCCCTGGTCGTCGGCTTCACTTTTTGCATGTTTCGCCCATCCAATGCCAGCGCAACCTGCCCGCAAATGCACTCAATTGGAACCTGATAATTGCAGATGAAGATTGCATGACGTCCCCGTGGGAAAGATGAAAAAATTTCTCTCCCTCTTATACATCAATGGTTTGCGGCGTGTACAGTAGTGGCGAATGGGTGCCCAACTTGTAGCCTTCGGATGATGGACAGACGGATCATCTTCAGTGATAGCCCATGGTCCCAACTGATCGCCTTGCGGGGCCCGTGGCAGTCGGAGATGGTGTCTTGGGGTTCGACCTAGAGCCAGCTGTGCCTGAACATCAACGGCGAACCCGCTCCGAAAAGGATTGTCGAGTCTACAAGGTATAGAGTAGTATGTTGACGATCAGCTCTAGAGACGAGCCGAGCCGGCGTGTCAACGGTCGTCGGATGAAGTTCTTGGAGGGGGAGTCTTATATGATGACTCGTGTCTATGATGTTACTGACTGTCTGCCTGCGCCGGAATTGGCTATATTGATGCCGCCTTTGTTGATATCAGTCAGATATGGAGGCCCTTGCTTTCGCCGTTCTCGTATACCAACCTGGATGATTTCCATCAAATGATATGACTCCAAAGTACCTACCTCTACCCGATGCATTCCGTACAGTACAGCTCGGTGAATACTACCTAGTACAGTGCCAGCATTTCTTCAAAACTCCAGACATATACATATACGCCACATCTACAGTCTACTCTCCCCTTTTACTACTCGTACTCGGCCTAGGATTAGAACAATCCGTCGTCGTGATTGCGTGCGCCGCAACGTTCTTGACCCTCATCTCGACTTCCGCTCGGCAGCCGCTCGGTAGCCAATCGGAGCCCGCAGTTCCCACTTGCAAGCCCAACCATCGTGTCACCATCGACCGAGGGCCTTGATTGGGTCGGTGACGAGCGCAACGGTGTTCTTGATCCTTCCAACAGGATCAATCAAGTAATAAGAAATCCAGATGAAAAGAGGGGAGGGGGAGGACGAGGCATTTGGTGCATGTATCGCCGAAAAGCACACGCCACGTCGTACCGGCATAGCATTGGATGTTTTCCCAGCTGTGCACATGTCTGGAGAGGATGCCACCACTTTCATCAACACCATCAGCCAACTCGCCAATGATACTCCAAGGTCATGTCGTACAGGATGCACGCTCTATGTTTTTTTTTCGCCGTCTACATGGCATCAACCATCGGGGGCCATGATTCAGTCAATATCTGGGCAGAAAAAGTTGATGCGGTGGAGGCCTAAAACAGCCCCCGTTTGCCCGTATCAATATCCATCGATGCCTTTTGACTCATCCGATGTATGCACATGCATACAGTACCTGGAAGTACTCATACTTAGTCGAAACCTGGATCCGTTGTTATGTAATGGTGCCCAAGTTTGCAGCTCGCCAGCTGTGCATGGACCTTTTTTTTCTTCTTTGTTTGTCTCGACTTTTGCCGGATTCATTGCTACACTCCCTCGTTGCCCCATCACGCTGCGTCAAAAGAGATGGACAATGAAACGACACTGGATACATGAATTCGAAGCAAAGAAAACGCAGTGCGTGCGATCTAGTCGACGCGCGACATCTCCCCACCGTTCGCACTGTCCTCCGAAACGCCGCTATGGAGCATCTGACGCTGCATCGACGTTTTCTTGCATCAGCAAAAACGTTTGTTGAAATACGCTCCCGGCTTTGGACACGGACCTCGTCCCGCCGAAACCATGTCGGCATCTCCGGAACAAAGTCGGCGAGAAGCACGCCGCAGAAAAGACACGCGGCGAAGAATCCCTGCAATGGAACTTGCGCATCGACGATTCCATGGAAGCCGGGCCAAGCGTCAGGGCGTCGTAGATTTTGAGAGCGGCAGCCGCCCGCCACTTCCGACTGGGCGTAACGGGTGGTGCTGTAGGGCTTGACTTGAACTGTTTGACGGGAGAAGGGATACTTGTCATGTGTTTGATGGCTCTTTGAGTTTGCCCTGTGGGGATCATCAGTGCCGTTATGCGAACGGCTGCGGAATCATCTGTTGTGCAGGTGTCGATACAAGTCGGCACCAAGGCTCATGGTTACTGCCCATAACGTTGAGCCGTATGTAGAATACGAGCATAGAGAGAGACGAACAAGGGGATGAGCCACCACCGAACCACGACCGACGATTTCCGGAATAATGGTTTGTCTACTGTCCAGTACGGCGGTACTTGAGCTGATCAGCGAGTTACCAGCAAGGTACGCGCACTTACATGGATGTCAATCGCCTTGCCAAAACTGCCAAAACGGCGCCAAACGAGGTTGACATGCATCCACGTCCGTTTGGCTCCCGCTTCAGAATCAACCTTTCCGTCGATCCCCTTGAAATGTTTTTCCCGCAAGCCAAAACCTCACCCTTATGCCAGGGCCCAGAAGCCACGGCTCAAATTCAAAACACAAACCTTGTTTCTCGCACATGGCGTCGACCCAAAGAATCCCTGCCTGTCGTTTTTTTTTCCCGGATTCCGGCGTACGTCATGAACGGGTCCACGGAGTAGCCTCGTGACGTCAGCGAAGCCTCGGTCTCTTCTACCATCACACCCCGGCATCTTTTTTTTTTCCAACCAAAGAAAAAAACTTGGTCGGCTTCAACCAAAGCAAAGTGGGCTTTTGGTACGTAATTCAGAGGTTACGGTTACTTGTTGAGGTTAACCCTCTTTTATTTTTATAAATCCTTCCTTATAAGTTCCACAACAACAACACACACACCCCCCTTGCACGCATTCCGCGATGCCTCAGGACCAAGATGCGCTCTACAAAGTCGGCCGCGGTGGGGCAGGCAACTACATCTCGTCGAAACAGGCCGACGAGGCATCCAAAGTAAAAATACCGATCCTGGCCCCCCTTGCAGTTGTTGTTTTTTTCTCTAATGCAGCGCCCGCCCGTTTAGGATCTTGAAGCGCAGCAGCTAAAGGCCATTGCCTCTTCCTTCTCTTCGCCGTCAGCGGCCCCGTCGCAGCCGCAGGGCCCCGCAAGGGCCGGCCGTGGAGGAGCCGGAAACTTCATCGACCCGTCGTATGCCGCGCAGAACCAGGGGCGGCTGGCGGACGAGACGGGCGCCGCCGTGGCCTCGAGCCTGAAGAAGAACCCGCAGCCTCACCGCGCGAACTGGTCGGGGCGAGGGGGGGCCGGCAACTACAACTGGGAGCAGGCCGCTGAAGAGGAGAGGCGGCAGCAGGAGGAGGAGAGTAAAGCAGAGCTGGATAAGAAGATTAAAGAGGCGGTCGAAGGAGCCTTGAAGATGCCGGAAAAGGCACATCAGCATGTAAGCAAAGAGGAAGAGGAAGAGGAGCAAGGGTGAAGAGCAAACTGTGGACACACAATCTTCCTTCAACCATCCCGCAACTCAGGCAAGCCCCTGCGTGATGGTGTCGGCTTCAGGGCCACGATTCTCACCGGGACGGATGCCTACTATATTCAAGAGAAGCCCTTCAGAAGCAAGAAAGCGTTTCCGGTTCCAGCACCTGAGGCCATGCATCACCGAGACTTGAAGCATCACTACAAGCCGATTCATTACGAGCTACTGCCGAGCGCAACTCAGATAGACAAGTCCTAACCTCCTCGTATCCGCCATTGAGCATCACCACAAGAAATAAGCATACCAAATACATAGTTTATCACATATTGCCTTGCACATAAATTATATAGAAAATAAAGTATTTTAACGAATTGCAAATCGTCCGCAACCAATCAACGCATCCAATTCCACCCCTCCAATCCATGCATGCACATCATCCCCAAGCCCAAACGCACTCTTCCCCGGAAAAACTATTGCCCCGCACCCAGCAAAACTTCAACTTTCTCAGAAAGCCCGATTCTCTCAAACCCACTTACAGCATTGCGACAGAATCAACCCTCCCAACGAGCCAACAGCCGCCATCTGTCAAATCTCACCCGTCCGAAACAAAACCTCTTCTACATCATGGCTTCAGTAATGGCTTGGGGCGCCGGTGTCGCCGTCGCAGCATTCCTCGTACGTTGAAAACTCCCCAAAGTCTCGTATAAGCGCACCTTGGCCATCCACACATGCGCCCCCAACACAACCATCCCAAAAGCAATAAAGAAAAAAAAAACGACACAAAAAGCTAACACTTTTTTTTTCTCCCTCTTCCACAGGGCCGCGCCGGCTTCGTCGCCCTCCGTCGCTCCCGCGGCGGCGTCGGCGCCATGGGCAAGGCTTTTTACAAGGGCGGTTTCGAGCCCCGAATGACCAAGAAGGAGGCCTCTCTCATTCTATCACTGAGGTAAACAACGAAGCATAAAAGACAAAAAAAAACAAAAACACCACTTTGCGATTGAAGAGGACTAATTCCGTTTCACGCTATAGCGAGCGATCCATTACCAAAGACAAGGTCCGCAAGGCCCACCGAACCCTCATGCTGCTCAACCACCCCGATCGAGGCGGCAGCCCGTACTTGGCGACCAAAGTCAACGAAGCCAAGGAATTGCTGGATAAAACCGTCTGACCGAAGCTGAACCGGTGAAACTTGCAAGGAGGCGGAAATGAACGGCCCCATGTGTCCAACCACATACCGCATTATTACGAACCCGCCGCCTTGGTAATGGGAGAAAGAAAAAAGAGAGTCAGTTTGGGGGGCCGTGTGTATATGTCTTGTACGATATTCGATTTCCATAGCGATTGGCGTTGGTGGGTTGGTGACCTGCATTTGAAAGCCATCTAAGCGACTCATAGCTAAGGTATGGGAAGGTTTTAGATAGGGAGGGGCTAGCTACATGAAAGATTTCGCGGCTTGCCACTTGGGTAAACATAACCCCTCCCCACAAGAAGAAAGAAAAGAAAATACCAAGTCTCAACTCAAGACGGTTTATACCCACTTCTCCATTCCTTCAACTTCAACCTCGGGCTCCTTCACCTCGACATCCCACAGTGCCGGCTTGTACTCTTTTCCTTTCGCCTTTGCTTCCTTCTCCCGGATCTCTTCGATAGCAACTCCGATGAGGGCACGCAGAGTAAACACGGCGTCATTGCCGGCGTTGTGTAGGTGCTTGCTGGGAATTGATAAGTCGTTGAGGACAGTCAGAAGGCTCTTGCCGTTGTCCCGTTCTTTCCAAGCCTGGTGAATATCCTTGGTGTCCAGCTGCTCAACAAGGCCTCGAAGGGACAATATCTCAAATCCTACACTCGAGAGGTACTTGATGTCCTGCTGAGCGTCATGGCCGACAAATACCAGCTGACGTTTCTTATTTATATATGGCGCCAGGACCTCTAGAATTGCTTCGGGAAGCTCACATTCTTCCGGAAAGGTGCTTTTGCTATTAATAAGTTAGCAGGAACCCACACAAAAAGGCAATGTTTTGAACAATTACCCAAAATCGAAGTAGCTAGGACACCCATGGACGAAGCGATGGTTCACTAGACCTGCATATTCCTTAGTTCGAAGGTGGTATGCCTTGATAAACTGCCACCAATCATGGCCGCCAGGGCCCGACGGCACGCCTTTGAGGTCCTTGACATCAAGAATGGCTATTCCGACTTCAGAAACGGGATTCGGCGGCATCTCGATGGCCTCGACGTCCATGCAGAGGAAAACAACATCTGCCGCACTGCCACTGTCTGGTGTCAGATGAAGAAATTCCTGGGTCTCGTAAAGCATTCGCTCTCTGTCGAGCTTTTTCTGAGCCGCCTTTTTTCCTGAATCCTTCTTCTTGTCGCGGAAAGCTGGCCTCGGCACCATCATGTTCCAGGTTTCTATCCAGTCCTGTTGGATGGCACCATGCGCAGCCCTGAAGCTGTCCCAGTCCGCCTGATGAAAGTCTGGGAAGCCTTCAATGTCCAAGGACTTCTGTTCTCTTGATCTTTTCAGATATCGTGGTCTTGGTGCATCTCCCTGGCCGAATTTCATATAGAAACGATCTTGGTTTACGCCTCCCGGGATAGCGAGTGAAGTGCCGAGCTCTCTGTTGATACTCTTGAGAAAGTATTCCAGCTGAACCGTGGGCACCAGCAAACGAGGCTTATCGCCAGGTTTCTCGGGGTGGTAGAGGTAGAAGCTACAAGATTGGTTAGAATGCATTCAAGATAAGTTAAGGGATACTCACAAATCCCAGACTCGATCCTCCAATATTTTGTCAAAGAAAGGCTTGGCCTGTGGACTACGTCAGCGACATACCCTCTCCATATTTGTATATCTGAGCAACAGGATTCTACACATACCCGAGGCTTGTTCGCCTTGCCGATGAAGCTATCAGGATAAGCCAAAACGACCTTCCATGAACAAAAGCTGATCGTTTCGTCTGCAGGCTCCCCCACAATGAATTTAGAGCAATCCAGAGGCATCACGGGAGGCGAAACGTCAATCTTTGCAACTGGCACCTTCTTCTCTGGCATAGAATGTGGCATAGAATGGGCCACAGAATTCCAAGTGTCGCGGCTAGCGTCGTATAGCGAGGCATCTTTTCCTCCTGATCCAGGCGCTACTACGGCCGGAAACTCATCCTCAGAATTGAGTGACGCTGTTTCGTTTGGTTCTTCTTCTCGCACATGTTCGCCGTACTCAACATTCACTCCAAGGCTCTTGAGCGTCTCGAGACGGGATGTGAAGTCGAAACTGGCCATCCTGAGGCTAGGCAACAGTAGACGAGAAGTTTGCTTGGTCACACTGGGGATTGACTTGCAAGACAGATGAATAATTTGTGGTTGAAAATAAAGAAATGAGATGCCCTGGGGAGAAGAGAAGTTGAAAATAAGAGACAAGAAAAGAATAGAAAAGTGTGCTGGAAAGCGAGATGAAGGGCAAGGTGAAACGAAACTCAAGTGCAGCTGATTGGGCAAATGCAGCTGTAGCGGTTGGGCAGGCACTGGACGGCCGCCTGCACAATCAAATCGCACAACTTGAAAACTGCAGGCAAAAAATTCGACAGCAAAAAATTTCAGTTCAAAGCATCACAAGGGCAAATTTTAGATGCTTGCCACAGATGGAGTCGTTTGACAGAAGAATTCTACAAAGGCAGAGTTACGTGGTGTTGGGCAAAGAGGCAAGAAAGCTATGATGTGGCTCTTGATTCTGTCAAAGGGGGCACATGAGTACCATTGTCCCCTTGTATTTCCTTCACGTATTCATTATAATCATACAATTACATGCTCAATCATTGCCTTTTCAGCCTTTCGGTGTTACCTGGTCCATCTACATACTGCCTGCTTGATCAACGTAACTTCATCTTGATTTGTAAAACTATCACAAGTTAGCAAACAACAACAACCATCCAGCATGCTGCGTTACTCACCTCATCTGCCTCTTCAGGCGTAACTGTCGATACCTCCAACAGTTTCTTGTCAATCAGCCCCTGTTTCGCCCACCTCAGCTTGAACCAAAAGTCTCGCCTGTCGCCGCCCAGAGCCCCAGAAAGCAAGCTTTTCTTCAGGTCGCGCACGAAATCGTTGTACAGCCCGGGCTCTTCCAGGTTTGTGAGCTCCTCTCTCATCGCCCCGATACCCTCCATTGCTTGAGCGTATTTGCTGTCCCCAAAGCTGTCTGTGATGAGAGATCGTACAATGGCTCCCATCTGCTTGGTCGCCTCTGCAATCTGTTCAACCTCTTCTGACGAGTTCAAGGCTCGCTTGAAATCGGGAATTGCATTTTCGGGACTAATTGATCCCTTCTTTTCTTCTCCCAAAAGAGCATCCACGTCCAGCCCCGAGATGGGCTTGACCGCTTCTCTTTGACGTTTACCTTTAGCCTTGGGTGGCACTGAGAAGACATTAGCACATCAAACTTCCAGTGTCTGGGATTGCCTATATATAATCACCTTTCTTGACATCTGCAGCCTGGACTAGAGAATCAATCTTGGCTTGCACTGTCTCGATCAGTTCCGTCGGAGGAGCTGCAAATCTGAGCAAGACTGGGGGGATTTCCGGTATTGGCCTCTCTGGGTGAACTGCTCGTTGCTTGATTGCATGGTTGGTGCGATGTATTGCAGGGTTGTATATCTCATCAATGGTGGCATATTCGGCAGGCTCCCTAATAAAATGAGCAAGTTTAGAGACGGGGACTTATTCGAAGGGGCTTCTTCATATACTCACCCATCCTCGTCAATCCCATAATTTGATATATCCATGGCGTCCACGTAATCGCTCATTGCCTGGTTGAGTTCATCCGATGGCAACAGGCGATGGCTGGTGAGTGTTTGACCACTGACAGTAACAACTCTGTCCAATGGGGGGAATTGGTACGGTCTAATGTCTTCTGCAAACGGTAGAGGTACATCGTATAGGCAAACGTAATTGGGCTCCATGTGAGGCATCAGCAACAGTATTATAGGCTCCTTTTCGTCCTTGGCCACCAGACGGGCCACGGCGTACGAGTCAAGCTCCGAAAGTGCCCACACCAGAGAGCTGAATGCCAGCTCCGACTTCTCGTCGAACTTGGCGGCAATGGTGACGCAACTTTCGCCAAGGTTAAGCAGCAACTCATACTAGAAGACGGTCAGGTGGAATCCTGGTCCAGCGTCGGGAAACCAAAACATTACCTTTTCTTTTTGGACAAAGCCAATAATCTTGAAGCTCTTCTGCGTCTCTAGCTTGGTGACGTTGTGGTCAGACTCGCTGATGTGAACTGCTGTCCTGCCATACTCGTACCCCTTGGCCAGAGACTCAAACTCGACGTCACGCTTGCCACCTGGAGCATCCGGATCATTGACCTTGTACGTTCTAGCCTGCTTAACGGCCGTAAGCTCCACTCCATCCATTTTCTCATCATCTGCTTCTTGTGAACCCCCAGCTTGCTCTTCCTTGATCACCACAGTACTGGCTGTTGGTGGCCTAGCAAGGTGTGTCTTGAAGTATCTCTCCACGTGGATTTCCACCACTGCAGGGGCGTTTTTCGGGTCTCCCAAGGTCAGAAGGCCGTCATATGCCTTGTACGGCTTGACTGACTTTGCCCGTGGCTCGTTCATGTCGTCAATAGCTTCGACTATGGAAGCAAACCTTGAGTCTTCACCGCAACCATCCACTAGTTTTCTTAGAGTCTCTTCATTTTGTTTCTAAAAAAAAATCCGAGCATTAGACATGGTTAGAAAGGATCAGGTAAGACGTAAACGATCCGCCGTAATTACCTTGATTGAAGGCTTGTCCTCTTCCTTAAAGCCATAATCGGGGGCATCAAAGTCAACGCCCCTAGTAATTCAGTCAACACTGTGACCATTCTAAAACGCCATTTCAACTCACAAGACTGTCAATTCAATACCCGACTCGCGCATCTTTTTCGAAATGTCGTCAATGTCATCAGGGTCTATCTCCCCGCGGCCGTCGGTAACCAGGCAAATCTGCCGCTTCCACTTATTCTTCTTTGTGTAGGTGTCAATCATGTCGACAGCAACCACAATGGCTGATATGGCGTCACCGTCCACAGTCCCGCTGGCCTTCACTTTGGACTGAAGATTCTTGAGACTGGTCATTGTCATTGGCCCCAGCGGCTGCAGGATAGAGATATTCTCGTAACCGTCCTCGCCCAGCGTGTGGTTGGTCTCGTCGGTTCTGAGTCCCACCACGCCAACACAGAGTGTCTTGCGGTTGGAGGCGACGACGTTGCTAATCTTGTCCCACACATAGCTCATGCTCCAATCGAGGTCTGATTCCTTCCGGCCTCCATTGGTCGCGGTCATGGACGCGCCGAGGTCGATGATGAAGACAGTGGCTTCCTTGTCTGCCATCGCTGCGAAGTAAATTGAGAACAACAGAAGAAGGGAAAAAGATGAAGAAATAAAAACGAAACGAGGAAATCGCCAATTGCTCTTCTATTTTATTTCAACCCAGCAAACCAGCCCCCGAAATCGTGAAAGCTGATAGGCCCGCCTTTGCTTGCACCCTCGCCCAGATTTAGGCAGACGACGCCGTTTGGCTGATGGCGGGCAGACAAGCCCCAGTGACAAACGCGCATGTATCGCGATACCACGTGACCGCTCATGACCTCACGTTTCATCAAAGGTAAAGGTGTATCGGATGATCGGAAACCACTCGATATCAGCCCAACCTGGGATTTCTTACTCCTCAACTTCAATTCTGCCCAGCCTTGGTGTTTAGCTGGGGACCGGCAACATGGTCGCCTCAACTATTACTTCGGTGGTTCCGTACCACATCATCTCGTGGGTTCTGCTTCTAAGACAGTTGTCTTGAGTGATCGGTGAGCTAATGCCAGACTTCATTGTCTCGACCGAACTAGATACGGCACCCTGCTGGGAACGACATTCTTTCATGTGCGTCACCAAGGATCCCATCTGCTTCCTCTTACCCCAATCTCTTACGTTTTCCACCTGAGACATGTCGATTCAGCCTCTCATGAGAATCGGACCGCTGCTTACATTACACCACGCTACTGCAGTCCTTCATCAATGGCATCGTCATGTTCCGAACCGTCGACAGGCCGTCCTTCTCCGCCGTCCAGAGCAAATTGTTCCCCATCTACTTCGGCATGCAAACCGCAATCCCCGCGTTCCTCGCTCTGACGTTCCCCGGAAACTCCCTCTTGGGCATCAAAGGTGGCATCAGCGGCCTGCTTGAGGCTCCCAACAAGTGGAGCTCCTTGGTGCCCATCGCAACCATGTTTGTCAGCGGCCTCGTCCAGCTTGCCGTGCTGCTTCCCGCCACTATCAAGACCATGAAGGACCGCCGTGGACAAGGTAGCTAGCCCCGTCCTGTACCCCCTTCAATTTGTTGAGATGAAAGCCCTTGGGAAACCCAGAACTAATGAGTGAATCCCCTCTCACCAGCCAAGCGAGACGGAGGGGAGTGGTATGACAAGGATGCAAAGTCGGACGAGATGCGTGCCCTCAACAAGAAGTTTGGTATCCTGCACGGAATCTCCTCGCTCGTCAACCTTGTCGAGTTCGTTGCCGCTGTGGCCTACGGTTTCACGCTGGCGGCTCGCATCCAGTAAACGCGGGACAATCTCATGGCATTGCAGATATGTCATTGTACTATATTCATTATTACGACTCGTTGGTATATACTTGAGCCCCTCTCGCAACCAGTTCCCCTCTAGTTCGACAACAAGTAAAGGATTCTCGCTAGTCATGCAATACGAATCACGGCCCCAATGTGAAGGTTCATCGTAACAAATCAATTCTTGGCCCCCAGAAAACATCTCTAGCCTGCTGATGCTCTCCTCCCCAGTAGCCACTCGGACACTCTCTATGGGTATATATCCGCTTAACCGATGCGCCACGCAAATAGAAAGCAAAACACGTAAATTCGTCAACGTAATCGGCATCATCGTCCTGCGCCGGAAGCCTTCTGCAAGGCGCTGTCGTGGAACGCTAGCAGCTCCCGCTTGGCCGCCTCAAAGTCTCTCGCTTTCCGGCCCTTGTCCTCGGGTCGCAGCGCGGCGTTTTGGGCTCTGATTTGGTTTGCCTTGATCTGGCCCTGGATGCTCCATCTCCCAGGCTGACGCTCAAGGGCCTCCTTGACGTCGACTTCGTTGGCGGGCTTGGGGTACTCTCGCGAAAGAGGCGGCAGAGGGTTTGTCGAGAGCTTATGGGCGAAGCCGCCGACGAACTCGTAGGATTCTAGCGTAGGCGTTGAGGTGGCCGAGACAGAAGGAGTAGAACAGCTGCTGCTGGAAAGACTGAGTGACTCTGTGGTCAGGCGAGGGTTTGGTGTGTTGGTATCCATCGATGATAGGGAAGAGGTTCGCAGTCTCGCAGCTGGTAGATGGTAAGGTGTGATGTTCAGGCGAGACGCTAGATAAGCGATATTGCTTCGGTACGTAGAAGTAATAAATGCTTGCGTTTAGGTACTAGTTCAAGCACGATGCTTAGGTTGGAGAGTTGAAGAGTTGCAAGTGTGGGAGCGTGGGAGGTATTTGTAGTTTGACAGAAGTAACTTGTAAAAAGTGGGAGGTTCCTATTTTTACTTCACCGAGCATCTGAAATTGTTTTTTTTCCTCGCCGCCTTATCGGAGCGTCTAAGAGCTCACGAGTCAAGCTGCTCAGGCTCTGCTAGCAGATTTCTAATGCAAGCAAGCAAGTGACTCCCCATCGGGCTGGATGAGTCTTGCCGAGCCGTGGAACCTTGTTAAAACTCTTGAAGCGTTAAATCCATGTGTACTCCGTGCCAAGCAGAATCAAGTAGTAATAAAATAGCACTAGACATCAATATTGTTTCCTCGTCTTCGGAGCAAACTTGGCGATCCTCCGGCCCTTGTCCTATCGCCTTCCATGTGAGCCGTCTATTTGGGAGTCTACTGACCAGAACGCCGTCTTATCTCCTGTTGAGCAGGGGTTCTTTTTTTTTTTTTTTCTTCAACTCGGTTCGGCCGGGATCCATAAATTTCGAGGGAGCCACATGGACGCTTTGCCTCATTAAAATGTTACGCCATCAAGGGTCCTCCGAGGCCTTGTATCAGCCACGGCGATCGGGCTATGCACTAAAACCAGGGAATTGCCGATAAGAGCAAACGACTCGTCCGGAATCCACAGCCGGGCAGTTTGGCCGACGCAAAGTGTGACCGAGGGAGCCGCAGATCCGTGCTCGTGTTCGATTTATACGTATGCCCTGTCCCCTTGCTCTCCTTACGACTGTGAAGTGATTCGCGTCCAAACAGCAGCAATCATGAGATGTGAGGGTAATGGAGATGCACGAAACGACTCCTCTGCCTCAGCCGGTGAACACGTTACACCAGGGATGCTTTGCACCGTCACGGACCTGTGCTCGGTACAACAAGAGGCTAGAATGGCTTCGCTCGGGGAAGCGCAAGTCCGCCCCGGTTTGGCGACAATCATACAACGAGGCTTTGGTGTAAGAGTAACGCTGCGCCGTACGGAGTACATGGATGACTTGATCGGAAGCTGCCTCCATCCCGTGACAAAATCCGCATGTTTTCGGATTCGGCTGCAGCATGTACGAGTGTCAATAAGGCAGCAATACATTCATGACCCCGTTGGGAAAATGGACAGTTTGGCGGAGGAATATTCATTACATAGAAGCAACCCCCACGACGAAGCCTATTGGCATGATGCTGCGTATTGGGTCAGCTCCATCCACACTTGCTCATCTACTGCCTAAAATGAGTGCAGAAAATACGAGTATATACATGCAGCAACATCTTTGGGCTCCAAGTCGAACGCCCGCAGCGGAATAGAAAGCAAATGATTCTTCATGCCCCACGGCCAAGAAGAAGCAGTCGAGCCTGGATTGTTCGGATTCGCATCTCACTTTCAGTCTCGGAAGGGCCATTTACGGCATTAGGAATTAAGAGAGAAAAGAAACTAAAAGAAGCCCGGTTTATAAATTGGCCCTTCTGTCAAATACGGTATGCAATCCAGCTTGCCTCTGCTATGACGTAGTCCCGCAGCCGCACATTCTACCTCCGAAATCGCATTCTTTTGACCTACCCTACACTCTCAACATCAAAATTGAAGGAAAAGTTAGTGCTCTTTAAGAGACCGTATTCTCAATTCGTTTCGTGTTTACATCAATGTAGCAGATAGAATAGACAAAAAAAAATCTCATCTCTGAAAATAGGTTTGTCATAAATGATCTTGTTATGCTGCTGCAGCTGAATACAGCAGGTGCAAGATCTTGGGCGTCATTCGTGACTAAGCATCAAAATGCTACATCTTGACTCATTCTTAAGCCAGCCACATTCACTAAGATTGAATCCAATCACGGCTCAGTTGAAAAAGACGGTGGATGATACGAAATTTCTCACCCAAGTTTTATCCATTCCCATTATAACACATAGAATCTTAGAAAATGGCTACAACGCCAAAGTATCTCACCGGCGACGGTGCCGGAATCAAAGACTTCATTGACAAGTTTGACGTGAGTGATTTTACCATTCTCTTCCTAAACTCACCCTCGTGGTCGTCGCTCACATGAAGATGTAGACATTCCTATTCGACTGTGATGGTTAGCCGGAATTCCCCTTTCCAAACGAGCTGGGCAGTATCTCACAATTTGCTAGGCGTACTATGGAATGGAGACCACGTGTATGAAGGCGTTCCCGAGACAATCTCTCTCCTCAAGTCAAAAGGTTGGGCAACCCCCCTGAGACACAAGCCAACTCAAACTCTTCACTCACACTCTTTCTCCTCATCTCCCAGGCAAGAGAGTCGTGTTCGTAACCAACAACTCCACAAAGTCACGGCAGGACTACGTCAAGAAGCTCGAGAAGCTGGGCATCCCCTGCGACGCCGAAGATGTCTTTGGCTCCTCCTACTCCGCAGCCATCTACATCAACCGCATCCTCAAGCTCCCTCCCGGCAAGAACAAGGTATATGCCATCGGTGAGTCCGGAATCGAGACGGAGCTGGCCTCCGAGGGCATCCCCTTTATCGGCGGAACAGACCCCAACTTCAGGAGGGACATCACGCCCGCTGATTTCGAGGGCATGGCCAACGGCTCGATCCTGGATCCCGAGGTCGGTGTCGTCCTATGCGGCCTGGACTTTCACATCAACTACCTGAAGCTCGCGCTCGGCTTCCACTACATCCAGCGCGGAGCCGTTTTCCTGGCAACGAATGCGGATTCCACCTTGCCCATGCACCACGCCTTCTTCCTCGGCGCCGGATCCATCATGATTCCCGTTGCCAACGCCGTCGGGGAGCAGCCCACGATTCTCGGGAAGCCAAGCCAGGCCATGATGGACGCTGTCGAGGGCAAGTTTCAGCTTGACCGCGCCAAGACGTGCATGATTGGCGACAGGTTAAACACCGACATCAAATTTGGCATTGAAGGAAACCTGGGCGGAACGCTCCATGTGTTGACCGGTGTAAACCAAAAGGCAGACTGGGATCGCGAGGATGCGATCGCGGTGCCGGCCTACTACGCTGACAAGCTGAGTGATCTTCTTCAGGGTGCATAGAACTCATGATATTTAGACTCTAGATTAGACTTTTTTTCTTTTCTTTTATAGATGCGGTATGATATAATAGGCAAATTTCCAACACATTCCCCAAGTCCAAAGTTTTCCCTCTTGGTTTATCCGTGTATGACGACTATTGTTTCTTTTTTTTTCGTAGAAAATTTTATAATTACACCGTTGAAGCAGCTCATTAGCGTTGGAAGTTGTGCAGGTAGTTATAGAGTTCTTCATTTCAGCCTTGCTTCTTCTTGTGTCTCTGCTTTTGCTCAGCACGCTTAACCAGCTCGCTCGACCTGATGACTTTCGGCCCCGGGGTCGCATACGGACCCAGTGTCTTGGGGATGAACATGCCAACGTGATTTTGATAGGCTTTGTACTCTGGATATTTACCAGACGTGATGCCCTCCGTGAGGTTAGTGGAGCCCTGGAAAAGTAAAACCAAGGAGACGGCACCAATGCCAGCCCAGCTGTATGGGGTGTTGGTGGCGAAGCAGCTCCACTGGTAGAGCATGAACCAAATGGTTTGTTCAGCAAAGAAGTTGGGGTGTCGGCTATATGCCCAGAGGCCCGTTGTGATGAAGCCTCTATCTAGCTCACCCGATGTATACCCACTGGTTAGTTTCCCAGTATCCTTGTATTTGTATTTGGCGGTTTGAAAAGCTGACATTGCGTTAGTATGGATAAGGAACCGGCTTTTAAACCAAAGATGAGCTCAACATACCCCATTGCTGGCCATCACTTATCCATTCGCTCAGGACGAGAAGAATCTCCACGCCGAAAAAGACCAGATCAACTGCCTGAACTTCAGGCTCAAACTGAGATGACAGCAAGATGACGTACGCCGGCACACACGAGAAGAGGTAGAGGAGGATGCTCTGAATAAACGAAATGAAGATGACGTTGAAGATGAACCAGACGACTGAGTTGAGTTGAGCTTTGACAATCATCCTGCTGAGAATTAGCCCGGACCGTACTCTACTGTACAGAAAATGGGTGGTGTGTTCTTACCATCTGTAGTCTTCCGAGCCAATGTTGTAGCCCCCGCGTCTCCAGTAGTTGTACGTCAATCGAATCTGCCACGAGCCCGACATTAGCAGTGCCCTGATAATCCTAATCACATCGCATCACACTGGCGCATGAGATCCACGTACACTCCATAAGGTCGTACAGACAGCAATCAAATCCACTCGACCATGCGGCAGACCAGCTACACGTGCCCAGAGCGCAATGTGGACAACGTATAGGTTGGGCAGGATGCTCCACAGCCGGTCGATCTGCGAATAGTTGCGATTGATCTCGGACGCAACCAAGGCGAGAAGCCCAACAGCAAGAGAAGCCGCAAAGCCCGAAATCAGGGGATTCGTCGTAACATAGAGCTCCCTCAAGGCGTCGAGGCTGTCGATGCTCTCCCAGATCCGGTGGGGTAGCTGGTAGAGCTGCGGCAGGAAAGGCTCAACGACCTTTGAGTAGTCGACGCAGTCCTGCAGGGATTTGACATGAGGCAGAGCCATCGCGGGTGATCGCCAGATGCCGAATGAACTGAGGGTTGAGACGAGCTTGTCGAGCACGGGCAGCTCAACCCCCGTCATGGACTTTATATATGCGGCCATGGCGGTCCAAGTGCTCAGTCCAGGTATGTAAGGGATTGATGGAGTCGATACCTATGACGGAGACAGAAATCGGTGGCGGACCAATTAATGGGCCGTTGTTGTTGGCTGTGGCCGATTGCCTCCAGCGCCTGTGGCCGCGCTGATCGAGGCGCGGGTTAGCGTCCAGCTTCAGCGCCATAGCCTGGAGTTTCAGTGCGGCGATGCGCTGTGGACCCCTAGCAGAGCTTCCATCTGTTGCCCTGTGCGTGCTTGACCTCCCTCCATCGATCTCAAGCTGGTACCATCGGATGTACAGTAGCTCTGGTGGGGCGATGGTGCAGCTTTGCCGTGCTCCAGTAAAAATCTCGGCTCATGTTCAACTCTCTCGTCTCTATCCGATCTGATACCATCGCGAGTTACACTCTACTGTTCCACACGTGCAGCTGTCAAGGAACAGCCCCGTCCGTCGTCTTCGGCAGCTCGGGCATAGCGTGAAGCTTCGCAGAATGGCAGTTGAAGGAATTCCCGCTGATTGGTGACCCAAAAACGCCTGGTGGAGGTCCATGTATCAAAAGAAAGACGTGAATCTCGATTGGAGAGCTCCATGCACTTTACCCGTCGGTGTTTGTCCGCCCTCAAGCCTCGAGCCATGAAAGTCCTGTGCGTGGCTGAGAAGCCATCCATTTCCAAGGCTGTGGCTGGCCATCTCTCTGGAGGCTCTTTCTCAACAGTGCGTACACGCTCAAGTAGTCCAAGGTGATCTTTGGCGAGGGAACTGACATGAAACCAACGCAAGCACAACACACGCAACAAGTTCATCAAGAACTACTCGTTTGACTTTGACTTTGGCCAGCAATGGGGATCCTCATCCGTGACCATGACCTGCGTTACGGGCCATCTGACCAATGTTGAGTTCACTAGCGAGTACAAGAACTGGAGCCATCCTCCACCAGAATCGCTCTTCACTGCGCCGATAGTGACGAATGTCCACGATGTGAGTGATGCCAGACTGGCCCGTATGAGATTCTGCTGACCAATGAGCAGGATAAAAAGGACATTGCCAAGAATATAGCCGATCAAGCAAAATATGCTCGTCTGCTGGTGATATGGACTGATTGCGATCGTGAAGGGGAGCACATTGGCCAGGAGATTGTCGACGCAGCCAAGAAGGGCAACGCTGGCATCCAGGTGAAGCGTGCCAAATTCAGCAATGTTGAACGAGCGTATGGACCATCTCCCGTCTTGTGGCATTTCCTTGTGCTGACACCCCCTTTCTCAGCCATGTGCTGTCGGCAGCCAGACGCCTGGTTGAATTGGACGAGAAACAGGTAAACGCTGTTGCGGCAAGAATCGAACTGGATCTTCGCATTGGATACGCATTTACGCGCTTCATAACGAATAATCTCAAGCATCTGGGTGGACCTCTGGCAGACCTGGTTCTTAGTTATGGTGCGTAAAGAACAATTGCCCCCTTATCTCGTACTGAATGAAATCATGTAGGGTCTTGCCAGTTCCCAACTCTGGGCTTCGTGGTGGACAGATACTTTCGAGTCAAGAATTTTGTTCCCGAGCCGTTCTGGGGCATTTCTTTAATGCACAAGAAAGAGGGCAAGCAAGTACGGTTTTCTTGGGCTCGTAACCGTCTCTTTGACCGGATGACAGCCGTGCTCTTATACGAGCGATGCCTTGCTGCCAAAAAGGCCAAGGTCACCAAGGTGCAAGAAAAACCAACCCGGAAGTTCAAGCCACTGCCTCTCACTACCGTCGAGCTTCAAAAGGCGGCAACCCGTTTGCTCCGGATGTCTGGTCAGCAAGCCATGACGATAGCTGAAGGTCTGTACAATAAAGGCTTTATCAGCTATCCGAGGACAGAAACGGATCGTTTTGACAAGGGAATGAATCTGAGGGCACTGGTTCAGAAACAGACAACAGACCAACGCTGGGGCCCCTTCGCTCAAGGTCTCGTCAACGGTGGGTTTCAGCAACCAAGAGAAGGAAAACATGACGACAAGGCCCATCCGCCTATCCATCCCATCGCGCACGTCGCACCAACCGCATTGACCTATGACGAGGGACGGCTCTACGAGTATGTTACTCGCCGATTTCTTGCATGCTGCGCAGAAGATGCCAAAGGAATGGCAACGGATATTGAGCTTCTGTTTGGAGATGAGCATTTTAGCACGCGAGGAGTCATTGTGCTTGAGAGGAACTACTTGGACGTCTACATATACGAAAACTGGACTGATAGCACAGAGCTTCCGAGATTCAACGTTGGCGAGCAATTCGAGCCTACCGAGGCAATGATGACCGAAGGTAAAACATCGCCGCCAAATTATCTTACTGAAGCGGATTTGATTGCGCTCATGGACGCCAATGGCATTGGAACCGATGCCACAATGGCGGAGCACATCCAGAAGATTCAAGACCGAGAGTACGTGGCAACTACAACGAGGGGGGGTACGGCAGCTACAGAGGGGGAAGAGGATGGGCCGGGAGAAGCTCCAGCTACTCGAGGCGGCCGTGGACGTGGCAGAGGAGGCCGTGGCCGGGGAGGAGGTGCCGGCGGCTCAGCAAGAGGGGGTCGGGGAAGCGGGCTGAAAGTGTTTGTGCCAACTCAACTTGGTGTAGCTCTTATCTTGGGCTTCGACCGGATGAGCTTCGAAACGAGCCTCGGAAAGCCCTTTTTGCGTAAAGAAATGGAGCTTCAGATGAAGGCCATCTGTCAAGGCAGCACAACACGCCGGGCGGTTCTTGAACAAAGCATCGCGCAGTACAGACAGGTATTCCTCCAGTCTCAAGAACAAGTGGGAGTCCTTAAGCAGGTGAGTGGAGTCCTCCTTACTCGAACATGGCATCCCCTAATAACGTTTGTATATCGTGTAGGCCTGCCGCGAGTTTGTCTTTGGTCAGGGGCCGAGAGCATAACCCGATTGAAAGCGTGTCATCTTTGTGCCCCTCTCTACTTACACAACCAGCTTCGTCTCCTTTTTGATTGCCAGCTGTATCATGCTGGTGTTAGTCGTGTTGTCTCACATGCTCAACCAGGTCTAGATCTGATATATCGCCGATGCACGCCGCAATCTCGACCTTGCTTTCTTCGGGGTAACCAAACCCTACTCTACGCCCGCCATCATCACACAAAAATGAATATTCATTTCCTGGGTTCGACACGAGCGCGTCATCCAGCTCCTTAATACTAGCCTATAAATAACAACCCCATTACGGAGCACAGCTACCTCCTTTAAACCTACCAAGGTTCTCGTGGGACCCATCCAAGGGGGCGTGCAAGAAATAAGCGTCGCCGCCGATCACTGGAAGCTGTTGTACCTGTTCATCAATACGTCACTAAAGAAAACCAACACGGGTACTAGGTAGTAAAACTCCACAAATCTCATTGTCCGAGCACCGGGG